TCATCAGCAGTCAAACTATGTGTACATATGTGTATAAAATATGTTAAATATTGTCGGCGCCAATAGCCTAGTGCAGGGGTGGGCAAACTCGTTCCCGGAGGGCCGGTGTCCTGCACAGTTTAGGCCCAACTCTCATCACACACACCTGCTGCTTATAGATTTCTAGTGATCTTAAAGACACTGATTAGCATGTTCAGGTGTGCTTGATTAGTGTTGCAGCTAAACAATGCAGGCCACCGGCCCTCCAGGACCGAGTTTGCCCACCCCTGGCCTAGTGTTTAGTGTGTCGACACATAGTACCGAGGTGCTCGCAGCGACCTGAGATCGATTCCTGTCTCGAGGTCCCTTGCTGATCCTTCCCTTATCTCTGGTCCCCACACTTTCCTGTCTCTATATCTCCACTGTCCTATCAATAAAGGTGAAAACACCTAAATATATATATATATATATATATATATATATATATATATATATATATATATATATATATATATATATATATGTATATATATGTATATATATATATATATATATATATATATATATATTTTTTTTTTTTTAATATATTAAAACATATATTTTATATTGTGCATTATTTGTCTCTACTTGTGTACATCATACATATTTAGGCTCTATTTATGTACAGACTGTATTTAAATGTATATTGTCTTTTTTATTGTCTATTGTCTGTACAAAGTATCTCATTGTGTTTTGCACTGTCTGGTTTTCACTCATTGGAGAACACATGCTCTTGGTGATGTGACAATGAAAGTGATCTGATTATAAATGTTTAGTTATTTGGTACTAGACACGATGAACCAACTTAATTTTACCCAGAACAATATGGGATAACGTGCAAGCTAAAACAAAAATATCTTCATTCTTTACACATGAATATTTCATTCCAAACCCATGACACTTTGTTTTCATCATATGAACTACACAAATTTGAAATAAATAAAATAAAATAATATAAAACCACAAACCTTCTGAAAGGTGTAGTTCCCACTAAAACTAAAATTTACACACTATCACCTTTATGCATTTCTTTATTCTGTTGAACACTAAGGAAGATATTTTAAAGAAAACTGAAAGCCTTCCAAAGTAAGAATAACAAATACTATGGATGTCAGTGGTTACAGTTATTCATTTTTCTTGAAAAGATCTTCTTTAATGAAGTAATAAAAGTAATAAAATAAATAAATAAATAAATAAATAAATATATATATATATATATATATAATATTGCACGTGTTGGACAACATAATGTACTTTTGAGGCTTTTTAGGCGAGAATGTAGTGCTTAGATTGCAACTATGCAGTTTATTTTTAAGGATAGTGCCTATTTTAATTATTCATAATTTCGGTGATTTAGTGCATTGGAGGTCATTAGCCTGCTATACTGAGCAGAGCAAAGACGGTTGATTTTCTGCCACAAGATGGCGACAGAGACAGCATAATAAGCCCAGGTAAGAGAAATTCTAAGTCGATCATTCTCTTTTATATGCTGTAATTATACCATAGTAATCTGGTAGTGCTTGTTTGCTCTGGCTTTTTTAGGGTTAATTATTGTGATATCGTGATTGCAATAGAGAAATACTGGGACAGCTCTGTCGCTTGATGGCATTTCATGCCATTCAGCCTCAAGTTGCGGTTACATTAGAGTTTAAGCATGCGATATTCTGTCGTGCGGCGCTGCGAAAATGGGCGGGATTAAACAAGATGATTGGACATTTAAAAAAGCGAGCGATTGCTCCATGTTTTAAAGTTCTGTACAGAAAGGTCATGTTTTGATCTTTGATTGGTCTAACGCAGTCAAGTGATGCGATTTTGCAGGTCAGAGTTCACCAAGCTTGAACTTTGCACTGCAGCAGCCTGCAAAACTTGACGTATGTCCTTGCGTTTCCAGTCTGACGCATTCGCATGCGTATGAATAGAAGTCTATGGGAGAAAAAGCCCAGTGTAACCGCAGCTTTATAATCTTAAAATGTGAACACAATCACCTGTTTTGTCATCACTTTAGACATTGTGCATATGAATCATTCAAATACTAGCTCTAAAATTATGTTGGTGAATTAGTTTCTGCTGTTCTGAGGTCAGCTTCAGAGTTGTATGAACGGCAGAAGAAAGTAGTACCTCTTACAAAAAGAGTTTTTAGACTCTCCATGTTTGAATTTCTTGTTTATCTACATGATTATGCCATTAAACTGTTTTTGTTGTATAAGAGCAATATCAGACTCTTAGCAGTGCGATATGGGTGCATTATCATCACTGGTGGAACACTAAGGCAGTCGGCCTGTGGCCTTAAGCCAATGCATGCCTCCCACCAGTGCAGATATACAGATATACAGATAGATAGATATACAGATAGATAGATAGATAGATAGATAGATAGATAGATAGATAGATAGATAGATAGATAGATAGATAGATAGATAGATAGATAGATAAACAGACAGACAGACAGACATTTTTACAAATTATGTTGAACTTTTGACAGTATGTCAACATTTTGTGGTGAACTAAATGAACAAAATACAGAAACGCCCCCTCCTTTTATTTATTCCAGAAATACCTCTCCGGTTTGAGGGTTGTACTCTGTGATGGCAAACTCTGAGGCCACTAGCACTGTTCCAGCCTCACTCCTGATAGAGAAACACTGAGGAGATCCTGGAATGGGAAGATCCACACTTCTGAAGCGCTTCAGCAGACTGAGGTTTCTCATTGTGGGTTTATGTTTTCCTCAAGATGAGATCTGAAACCATATTTTGTAAGACTTACTGGATGTTTACAACCAATACAATAAGACATGGCAACGAGATTTGTAAACAAAATCATATTGGATTGCTTTTGAAACAGATTGGGGTAATATTCAAACATTTCAACTTTCCCCTTAATAATAACATTTCACAAAAGTATTCATTGCAAATTATAAATACAGGGAAATATTTATAAATATTAGCAACGAATGATTATCAAAATACAACAATGTTCACAGTCAATTAAATAGTGCAAATGTTGTTTCGAAGTCATGTTTACATGACATTTCAGACCGAATATTCATAGTGTGGTAAACAATACAGGGAATGTGTTCAATAATAAACGAAATTTTGAATATAAAACCAACTTCACCTCAATTTGAAACATTCCTGGGGGTGTTGATTAAGGTAAAGTAGGTTTTATATTCACACAGTCATTCAGTGACAACTTGTGACTGGCTCCCTATATTGTTTATCACGGCACTTTGAATATTCATTCTGAAATAACCTGCAAGTGTGACTTGAAAAAAACATTAACACTGTTTACTTGACTACAAACAAAGTTGCACTTTGATAGTCATTGTCTGCTAATATGATTTCACTATTTAGTTTGCAAATAATGCTTTTATGAAATGTTATTAAGGAGAAAGTCAAAATCTGCGAATATAAAACCAACTTTACCTCTATAGGGTGTTGGACATGTATTGGTAACTGATGAAAATAAATAATCTCCAAAACCTATTTTCAACGACACCTGTAAAATGTGGTTATGAACTTTTTGTTAAAAATAGCACTGAGATAGTTTCAAAACTCATTAAACATATCTCTTTAGCAGAATAAATCTACTTATACTGTTAACAGGCGTATTCAATTAACTACAAACTATTTTTCCTAGTTTGTTGCCATAGATGTATATGGTATAGAGGTAAAGTTGGGTTTATATTCGGATATTCAGACATTCTCCTTAATAATATAATTTCAGAAAAGCAGTGTTTACCATTTCTAAATAGGGAAATCATATTAGCAGCAAATGATTATCAAAGTGCAGCATTGTTCACAGTGAATTAGATAGTGTTAATGTTGTTAAGAAGTCATACTTGCATACTAATTCCTATCGAATATTCAAAGTAACATGGTAAACAATATAGAGACTGCTAAATGAAAGAATGTGCGAATATAAAACCAACTTTACCTCTATATCTAAGGTTTGTTGCTAACGTAGCACAAAACAATGCTATGACTAAAGCGTACGCGCAAATGACAACACGACCAGTGACCCTTACCTTGTTTATTTTATACCTTCTTAAAGATGAAAACGATCATTTGCGCGGCGTACATTCACAACACAACACAACACACTCACACGTTGTTTTCAGTGCAGCATGAACTCTGACATCGTAGAAAAAGCGGAGCTGTGTGGTTATTTGAACAAACGCTCCCTCTATTGTCGAGGAGAGCAAAAGAGTTCATTTGTATCAAAAATGTCTACAGCGTTCAGTTTATTGAAACAAATTAAACGCGTGTGTCTTAATTAAATGTAATACTCATGTAATTAAGGCGTGAAGATAATCCAAAATTATCTTAAAATGACATCGGTTGCATCGTTGTGAATCAGCTGCTCTAACTCGAGTCAGTGAATCTTCTCGAACGGTTCAGTGATTCAGTTAGTTCGTTCTCAGGTCGGATAACATGAACCAACGATTTTCGCTTATAGTTAATTAAAAGTGAACTTGCTGTCTATAGCCAGTATCTAATATGCTGTCCTAAATATACTCAGAGTTTGGGTGTATCTACTGTATATTGTTGCTAAATAGTTTTGTGTGTTATAGGCGTGCTATATATTCTTGAAAACGTAAAAATGTATTTTTTATTTTATAATATCGTATTTAATTTGATGTCATGATAGAATTGTAGATTTGTTGTTGTTATTATTTATATATAAAAAAACAACAAAATTAAACAAACAACAAAAACGTTCACACATTTTCGCCGGTTTTGTGAATCGGTTGATTTGATTCACTGGAATGAATCTTTCATTCGTATGACACTGAAAATTAAAATTTAATTGTATTTTATTTACAAAATAGACGTAATTGTATTAAAAGTATTCCCTCAATCAATTTGCGTAGCTAAACCGTGTGGCTTAAAAAAAACCTGGCTTTTAAAACAAGCATTTCTGAAATTCATAAATCCAAATATGTAAGTTAACTAACGTTATTATTTTGAAACGAAATGACAGGCATTCACGACACGCCTCTCCAAAGACGCAGTCCTACGCAATATGGAAACCTAAGTTACATATTCCTGATGTGTGTGCGCGGTGTTTCCTGATTTCCTTCAAGCTGGGACTCAGTCAGAAATATGAGTCATTCATGAAGGAAGTGCCGAGGAGTTGTTTGTGTGTGTTGTTTATCTGTAGTGCCATCCGGACAAACACATGGAGTGAATAACTTTTGAGCTTTTTAAAGACAGAAGGTATGTAATTATCACGAACTACGTGTAAACAGGGTGTTTACTTGCAGTTTATGGCAACTGACAGGGCGAAATCTTCTTTAATATTAGGTGTTGACGACTAACGAGTGTAACTTGCAATATAAAAAGTTTACCAACAGTATTCATAATTTTATTAATAACATTAGCATACATTATAGATTTACATTAAAATAATGAAAAATGCATTCAGTTTATTTGCAGGTTACTATAAGCATTTTATCACATAACTTAATGTGATATTGTGTATAGTGTATTTACAAGTTTATTATTATACGATTATTACTATTAAGTAAAAGAAGATGGCCATGTGGACTAGATGATCTTATTTTTCTTCTAAGTATGCAGGAATATCAAAATTTGTAAGATTTAAGTCTGTGACATTGTATTATGTTGAGTTTTGTGTGCCTTTATGTTAAATAATATGGTTTGAGTTTGCAAAAATGCTTTAGTTTTGTGGAGTAAAATAGTGTTATTTTGAAATAGCCTATGTTATTCATTAATTTCTGAAGTGTTTGCTATTCATAAAGACTAACTGATTATTTCATTGAATTCATGGTATGATTATTTACTGTAAATTATTCAAACTTAATTATATATATTTTTCTTTAATAAATATATTTTTCTAAATAATGCTTTTTCTTTATTTCATGTGTGTGTGTGTGTGTGTGTGTGTTTATTTTTTTTTCAGTTTTGTCTTTCATTGGTTAACAGTGTTGCTGAGTAAAATAGAAAGAAAATAATCAAAATGTTGTTATTGCTAAATAATAAATTGTTAATGTAAATATCACATTAGAAATAAATAAAAAATCTAATTCAAATGTTATATATAAATATTTAATAATATTAATAAATATTAACCTAATCATAAAAAATAAAACTAGTCAATTTAAATATTATTTATAATATTACAATATTTAACTATTTATATATTTTTTATATTTTAAATAATACAAATATATACAAATATTTTAAATAAATGTTAACTAAAAAAGTATATATATATATATATATATATATATATATATATATATATATATATATATATATATATATATACATACACAGTTGTATTTAGAATTATTAGCCTTCCTGTTTATTTTTTTCCCGTATTTATGTTTAACAGAGAGAAGATATTTTTATTTCTAATCATAATAGTTTTAATAACTTATTTGTAATAACTGATTTATTTTATCTTTGCCATGATGACAGTAAATAATATTCATTCATTCATTCATCATTCATTTTCTTTTCGGCTTAGCCCTTTTAATAATCCGATCACCACAGCGTAATGAACCGCCAACTTATCCAGCACGTTTTTACACAGCGGATGCCCTTCCAGCCACAACCCATCTCTGGGAAATAAATAATATCTGACGAGATGTTTTTCAAAACGCTTCTATACAGCCCAAAGTGACATTTAAAAGCTTAACTATTTTAATTAGGTTAACTAGGCAGGTTAGGTAATTAGGGCAAGTCACTGTATAATGTTAGTTTGTTTTGTAGACTTTAGCTTAAAGGGCTAATAACTTTGACATTAAAATGGTTTTAATATATATTAGCGTGTCTTTGCTTTGCTTGCTAATGGACATGATTTGATTACCTGAACATTTTGTCTAATGTTCTTTATTCTCTTGCTTGATACAACCAGATGGAGAGCAAGGGAAGCTCCAGCACTCCCCCTCCTCCAGAACTGAATGTATATGCTCCAGATGAAGAGGCAGATGGGGCTTGGGACAAACAGGACCCCCAGATTCATGCAGCTCAGCCTGAGGGCCCCTTCAAAGGATTGGGGTAAAGTTGGCTTTATATTCACACATTGAGACTTTCTAGATAATAAAATCGTTTCAGAATATTGTTCTTAGGGAAATGATTTTAGCAAAGTACTACATTGTTCACAGTCAATTAAGTAGTGCTAATGTTGTTTATTCTTACATGCTATTTCAGACTGAATATTCAAAGTATCATGATAAACAATATAGGGAGTGTTTCACAAGTTGTCACTGAACGAATGTGCAAATATAATATTAACTTTACCTCAATCCTCAGAGGGACCCCCACTCCAAGCAGCACTAAACTCTGTGGATACCTCAACAAGCAGGGCGGACCCCTCAAAACCTGGAAGTCCCGTTGGTTTGCATATGAGGAGAAGAGCTGTCAGCTGTTTTACTACCGCATGGCACATGATATTAATTCTCTGGGTAAGGTGGATCTGACTCGGGCCACATTCAGTTACCCGCTGCGTGGAGAGGAGGGAACCTTTCATATACAGACCCCAGAACGCACAGTCATTCTCAAGGTAATGCTGGCATAATATTAACATACTAACATAAGTAGTACATTTTTAAGCAATCGATGGGATGGTAATTGAGACTAAATCTATGTGAAAAACCTGCGAACTGCAGGGGGAAAACATCAATTACATGTTACAGCATAATTGAGTACACTCCATTTTGATAATGAATATTTTTATTTATTTCCCAGTGAATATAGGTCACATATTTTGGTGCATTTGAACAAAACAGATTCATTAAAAAGATATATATTAAAATAGTATTTTTGTCACCGAACTTCTTTGGAAGTTGAAAGAAAACACATTTAAATTCAAGCGAAATGAAAATACTAAATATAAAATTCAAACAAAATTTGCTACATGTTTTTGTTTCAATTGGTTTTCCCTCTTTTTATTTTTTTTATTTCATATTTTTCCTTAACACAAATTCGGGTGTACTCATTTTTGGACCGTTATCATACTTTTTTTGTTCCTGATTAGCTCCAGATTTGGCTTCAGTACTGATGCACAAATGTAATATTGTGCAGCATCCTTTTAAAATAGAAATTTAGAAGATAGATTTGTGAGGGGTGTACTTATATACAGTTGAAGTCAGAATTATTAGCCCCCCTGTTTATTTTTTTTTCTGTTTAGAGGAGAGCAGACTTTTTCAGCACATTTCTAAACATAATACTTTTAATAACTCATCTCTAATAACTGATTTATTTTATCTTTGCCATGATGACAGTAAATAATATATGACTAGATATTTTTCAAGACACTTCTATACAGCTTAAAGTGACTTATAAAGGCTTAACTAGGTTAATTAGGTTAACTAGGCAGATTAGGGTAATTAGGCAAGTTATTTTATAATGATGGTTTGTTCTGTAGACTATCGGAAAAAATCAGCCTAAATGGGCTAATAATTTTGTCCTTAAAATGGTGTTAAAAAAAATAAAAACTGCTTTTATTCTAGCTAAAATAAAACAAATAAGACTTTCTCCACAAGAAAAAATATTATCAGACATACTGTGAAAATGTCTTTGCTCTGTTAAACATCATTTGGAAAATATTTAAAAAAAAGAGTAAAATATTCAAAGGGGGCTAATTTTTCTGACTTCAACTGTATGCTGAGCACTGTATATGAAGAAAATGAAGTGTATTTCAGCGTTGGTGTTATCTGATTTTGTAAAAATATAAATTTTTGTAATTGAAATATATCTGACAAAAATCTAAATCTTAAGATAAATTATATAACTTATTGCTAAATAAAACAAAAAGATAATTAAAAGTATTAAAAGTAGTAGTGGGTCGTTATCTGCGTTAACGCGAGACTCTTATCTGCCAATTTTAAAAAACATTGCCGTCAATCTATTCTCAAAGTTGGGTTGGGATCTGGGTCTGTTCTACGCAAGCTTTGATGACTTTCATCTTGATATTGTAGCACAAATGTATACCTGACCGGTGAGCCTTCTGAAAAAAAAGTGCCCTTCTGAATCAAATCAGCAGGATGCCCTTTTGGATCTTTCAATTACTTCGAAGACACACACTGACTACGCTTACATGGACATCTCTAGTCTAGTTATTAGCCTTAATAAACAATAATAGAATTAAGGTGTTTACCTGAAGTGCTTTCAAGGAAGGGTTTCCTGTAATTTTGGGTGACTTTAACTGCAGTTCGGTATTTTCACTCATGAGCATTTCATTCATGCCCCTGTGACAAACTGGGGTATTAGATGCAAATAAGGAGTAAGGACTGTTGAGAGTGTTATGGAATTTAAAAACACATGCCAAATGGAAAAAAAAAAACTTCAGCATTGCATGGTGTGTGTGTGTGTGTGTGTGTGTGTGGTCTTTTACTGACTTTAGTCCTACATGACAGTAATAGTTTGATTGCGGTGTTTACTTCAATAATGCCACTACTATCTGCATACACCCCATGTCTTAATTCCAGTTCTGTTTGATTCAGTTTCAGACTTTAGTCGGATTAGGGTGATCAAAAAATACACAAATAAAAATACATAAATGGCTGTTTGGAGCTTATGTAGGCCTACAGTTCCAAATTCATGTTTAACTGAATAAAGAGTTAGTAAACACAAGAACATCTTATTTAACATAATTTATTTTCATCACCAAGTATCATAGTAGAACAGTTTTTCAAGCAATTTGTGATGCATTTTGGAAAAAGGAGATGAGCCTCTGGTCTAATGCGCCACCTGGCTTGAGAAATCCATTCTCAAAGACTTGCTTTTAGTCATTATTTGAGTAGCACACATATTCTGAATGCATTCGGCAGAATTCATATGAGCCATTTTAATCTAGATTAATCTAGATTAATTTTAAGATTACATTAAGATTAATCTTGATTTAAAAATTTATCTATGCCCACTTATGGTAAAAATATTTTTTTTGTAATTGAAATATATCTGACAAAAGTACAAAAATCTAAATCTTAAATTAAAATATATAACTTATTGCTAAATAAAACAAAAAGGTAATTAAAAAATTATAAAAGTTATTCGAATAAAAAGTGTGAATTGGTATTTTTAATAAAAATAATAAACTGATAATGTAAACTAACATTCAAACTAAAACTGAAAATATTAAAAAATAAAATATAATTTTTAAAAATTAGTATATGAATAAAGATTACCTACAATGAAAATTGTCAGTAATAGTAATATTTGCTTAGTTATAGCTTAATTTTTTTTTTACTAAATAATTATAAACATTTTAAAAATAAATGTTAACTAAAAAAGAAAATATAAAACAACATTACCAGTTCCTTAATAAGTATAACATACAGGGGGATTTAAAAAGAATACTACAACTTTCGGGTTGGTGTCACTCGAGTGTCTAGAGGGGGTCATATTGAACATCTATGAGCTTGTTTTCTACTGAAAAAACTTTAAATACTCTTCACATTGATCAATTACCCAATGTTCCAACATGTTTCTTTGATTAAATACAGATTTTCTAAGTTGTGGTATTGTTTTTGAATCACCCTGTATATATATAATTAAAATCATAGAAAACTTTTATAGACACGTTGGTAATAAAATGGTAATAAAATTGACAAATGCACAAACATTTTTTTTCTGATGACTTGGGAATGTCCAAAAACATTATTAAAATGAAAGAATTAAGCAAGCAAACAAAAGTGAAACCATCACTTTTTCTGATTTATTTTATGGCAGTACAAGATCAAAGTTTAAATACTTCTAACAAACAAGGGTATGGATGAGAAAGTTATATAATGACCAATTCTGTGCTGGGTTTTTTTTTTCTTCCTTTTTTTTGATACTTTTCTTTCTTTTGTGTCCTTAAAAAGCCTGTTGTCATTATTGAGGTCAGACTTTGATCACCTGACTGCACTTCATGTAACATCCACCACATACTTGAGTAGCCTATCAACCGTGCTGAAATTCGGTCAGAGAGAAAATAAAGGCTGCTGGGTTTACACTTTTTGATTAAATGTATTCTGATTAGTGGTCTTAAGTATTTTTCATAGTTCTAAAACTTAATTAACCCTTAAAATTGAATGCTATACACTTTCATCAAGGGACTTTTTAAAGGGATTCTCCGCATTTCATCTCTTTTTTTTTGCAACATAAAATTGTGGTCAGTTTACAGCAAAAATGACTATATTGAAGTGAAGTGAAGTGAAGAAAGCCTTGTCCAATGGGGTTTTTACTAGTACTTTTACTGGATTTATTAGTCACATCCAAAATAAAAGTTTGTTTTGTCTTAATTTAACTGTGTGGACTGTAAATATATATATATGTATATACATACATACATACATACATACATACATACATACATACATATATATATATATATATATATATGTATATGTATATATATATATATATATATATATATATATATATATATATATATATATATATATAAATATATATGTATACATATGTATATATGTATATGTGTGTGTGTGTGTGTGTGTATATATATATATATATATATATGTATGTGTATGTGTGTATGTATATATATATATATATATATATATATATATATATATATATATATATATATATATATATATATATATATATATATATATATATGTACTTTTATTTTGGAATATTGTACTTTTATTTTAGATTATTAAAATAAAATGAATTTGGGCAATTAATCTTTGCCCAGCACCAGTTTTTACCCATTAAAATGGGTCCTCTGGGCCCTCTTAGTGCACATAAACACATTTTGAATGAGGAGTGTGTGTGTACGCATACACAAAGATACACACTAAAGCATATACCGAAAGTAGTTCCAGCACCCAGGGAGCAATAAGCGGTTAGGTGCCGCTGAAGGGCACCTAAGTTGAGTACCGAAGATAGAGAGAGTGTGGTTCATTTATTCCCTCGACCTTCAATTCCAGCTGGGACCGGAATCGAGCCTGCAAACTTTCGATTACAAATCCAACTCCTATTAGGCCACAACTCCCCTCCCAGAGCATCTAAACAGGCATCTAATGGCCAAACGTTTTAGAGTAGCGTAAATTCAAACAAGCTGGCATTGTTTTTATCCCTCATAATAGTTGCTATTGTCATAATAATTGTGTTGTGGTCTCGTAATCTTACAAATTTATCATTGCAATTACAGTTATCTCATCTTTGGTGTGAACGAGTCAGTGGATATATTTAGGGTAAGGTATAGATGAAGTATAGGTCAAGCATCTAGAGTGAGACAATGTTTTGGACACTTTAAAACAAATCTCTACAAAAATGATCTACTTTTTTGTTCAGGCAGCTAACAGAGATGCTCAGATGTATTGGTTGCAGCAGCTGCAGTTGAAACGTGCTCAGTTCAGGGACCAGCAGGCTGAACATCAGTCCACACCAAGACCAGACAGCCTGACAACAGAAAGCACACCGCCGGCAAACAACTGTCCTGGTAAGACCTTCAGCTTATTTATAGACTCTGAGGAAGAGAATATGAAATATGAAACATTCCATCATGAAACCATAATAGCAGTTACTACATCGTGGAAATCACCAAATCTGAATTATGATCTGAAAGTAAATGCACTGCATGTGTCAAAGGAGTGTTAGTAGCTTGGCCAGTCATGTGATACAAAGTTAATAGAAAGCGAAAGATCAACCAACCCCACCAGATCTTGAGGATTGTTCAAGAATGCTTGGAATTTGTGCAACAAAAAGCGTTTTAACTGAGTGCATGTATTGCTGGAGGAGTTATTCAAGTCAAGTGACCTTATTTTCAATACAATACACATTCAAAAGTTTGAAAGAATACAGTGCGGTAAGTATTCACAGCGATTCACTTGTTCTATGACTAGCCATAGACTGATTTCTCATGGCCGCCAGTTTTAGATTAGATTTTTTTTTTTTAGATTAGATTCAACTTTATTGTCATTACACATGTACAAGTACAATGCAACGAAATGCAGTAGAAAAAAAACACTGCTGCATTGGCCGGGAATTGAACCCGGGCCTCCCACGTGGCAGGCGAGAAATCTACCACTGAACCACCAATGTTTAAAAGCAAAATCGAGGCTACAGTGGGAAGAAACCTGGAAGAAGCGTTGGGAGTTACATAGGAACGTTGTGTACTTGGCTGTATATGTTATCAGCGAAGAGAAAGTGACACAAATTTAGAATTTCACCACCTTCCGAGTGACCCGAAGGTTCGTTCTGAATGAATGGTGAAAAGGGATATTGGACCTCATTTTCAGCTTAGTTAAAGAAAATGACACTGGTTAGTTAGTCCTTTCACTATATTAGACTTGTCACGATACTGAATTAAAAGAAAAAACGACAATTTCCCGTTAACATTTAAGCACTGTTGATGGCTGATTAGCCACTGTGTTCACATGCTTAACAGAAATGACTGTGATTGGCCGAGAAGATCATCAATTCACCCTCCACTGTTTACGGAGTACAAACAAAGACAATTGATCTGCTTGGTGATAGGGCTGTACAGTTAATCGAAAATCCGATTTCGATTTCGATTTTGGCTTTTAACGATTATGAAAAACCATTAATCGAGATAAACGATTATTCCATCACGTACCGCCCCCTTTCCAGTTGTACACGTGTGAAAACTCTTTGCCTCTGCAAAGCTCAGTTCCACGTGAAAATGACTAAAAGCATGTGCTGTAATGTAACTTTTGCAGCACGGGATGCGCATCATTCATATTTTTAAAAGCGCAAAAGAGCACGTGCTGTTGTGTGTGTGCGCGCCGTGCTTAGCCTCAGACAGGTAGCATGTGTGTGTGTTTGCGCGCGCGCCGCGCTTAGCCTCAGACAGCAGAGCACACACACATCTAACGCGATCTTAATGTGAGCGCTTTAATGGTCAAATTCATGCACATTTGTGTCAGAGCGCGGTGTTTATTGATTATTCATATTAACCCTCATTTTTGTAATAAACAAACAAGTTGAGAATCAAAACACACAATGTATAACCTACACCTTCATTTACCTTAAAAAAGCGGAAACATAGGACTCTAGGGCTCTAGACACGTTCTCCGCTTCTCTGTCTGGCGATCCTATGGATTCATCTGTGTAGCGGAGTTGCCAGGAAAACAGTATTTGCCTGACTGCACTGTCCCAAGTGTTAAGTTTGGTAGAAGGTTATGCTTTAGGGAGGCTTTTCAAGGGTTAGTCTTGGCCCCTTTATTCCAGTGATGCTTCAGCATACCAAAATCTTTTGGATACATTTATGCTTCCACCTTTATGGAATGGCCACTTTCTCTTTCAGCATGACAGTGCACCAGTGCACAAACCAAGATCCATAAAGACATAGGTGATCGAGCTAGGTGTTGAGAAAGTTGAGTGGCCTACAAAGAGTCCTAACCTCAACTCGACTGAATACATTTGGGATGAATTAGAGTGAAGACTGCAATCTCATCCAGCATCAGTGCCTAACCTCACAAATGCATTTTCAAGCATTTTTTGTTTTTAAAAGATGTCTAATAGACGTCCAAACATAGTCGTCGAGGGTAAAACAACGCTAAATTTGGACTGTCAGTCCAAATCTAATATACGTCCAAGAATAGTCCAAAACTAGACTAGTCATCAAATAAACAGAAATGAACGACTACACATATAGTGTCTGTTTAATCTGTCTATTTGACGACTAGTCGAGTTTTGGGCTATTCTTTAATGTCTATTAAATTTTCAGACAGCCCAAGTTTAGCCTTGTTTTAGCCAAGCTGTCTACATTTAGATGTCTATTAGACGTCTATTAAACACAGAATTGTTTGCTGGGTTCTGAACAATGGTCAAAAATTCCCATAAACACACTCCTAAACCATTTAGAAAGTTTACACACACCATTTAGTGTGTGTGTGTGTGTGTGTAAATGTAAGAGTGTATGGGTGTTTCCCAATACGGGGTTGCAGCTGGAAGGGCATCCGCTGTGTAAAACATATGCTGGACTAGTTGGTGGTTCATTCCGCTGTGGCGACCCCTGATAAATTAGGGACTAAGCTAAAGGAAAATAATTGAATGGCAGTTTGGGTGTGTTCTACACTTTATCTGGTGTTCAACATGAAATAATCTCCCAAAATAGAGGCCAATCATTGTTACTGAACAATGTTACAAAAGCATAGGCGCAGAGCATGAATATAGGGCATAGGCAGGAAAAAAGTCAAGGATACGGGGAGGAAAGCACCAGATCAGCTGGCAGGGAGCTGCTGAGAGTGACCAATCAGACTCCACATTACTTAGACGGCCACATTGTTTTAGTTTAGTCATCTGTGTTTCACAGCCCCTGAGGGAGATTGCAAAACCTCAGTGAACATTTATTGTAAATAGCTCAGCAAGCAGATCTACACTCACTCTACCACCAGCCTCAGGGTGTGGAGACGGGAAATATCAAGACTGATAGTCATCTTTAAATATTTAGAAATTCTGGAAAAGGGTGGGAATCATGGGATTGATGTCGTTTTCCATCTATTTCACTGTGTTGCAACTAACTCTAGTTTGCTGCTCGTGTAATTGTTGCACAGTACTTGTATTAAGAAACCGGCAGTTGAACTGAATGACTGAAAGATTACTGAGCACCAAGAGGAGACATTCAAATGACTGGACAAAAGCCTTTACCCTTTACATCTCATCTGTTTAAAGAAACCTTTTATATACACAAAACATTACAGGTATGTACACTCAGCTGCCACTTCATTAGGTAAACCTTATTAGTATACTGGTTGGACCCCTTTTGCCTTTAGAACTGCCTTAATCCTTCATGGTATAGATTCAACAAGGTACTGGAAATATTCCTCAGAGATTTTGCTCCATATTGACATGATAACATCATGCAGTTGCTGCAGATTTGTCGGCTGCACATCCATGATATAAATCTCCAATTCCACCACATACCAAAGGTGCTCTATTGGATTGAGTACTGGTGACTGTGGAGGCCATTTGAGTATGGTGAACTTGGTGGACATGGTCAGCAACAATACTCAGGTAGGCTGTGGCATTGACATGATCCTCAATTAGTACTTATGTGCCCAAGAAAATATCCCCCACACCATTACACCACCATCACCAGCCTGAACCGTTGATACAAGGCAGAATGAATCCTTGCTTTTATGTTGTTGATGCCAAATTCTGACCCTACCATCCGAATGTGGCAGCAGAAATCGAGACTCATCAGACCAGGCAACGTTTTCCCAATCTTCTATTGTCTAATTTTAATGAGCCTGTGTGAATTGTAGCCTCCATTTCCTGTTCTTAGCTGACACCCGGTGTGGTCTTCTGCTGCTGTAGCCCACCTGCCTCAAGGTTGGACGTGTTGTGTGTTCAGAGATGCTTTTCTGCAGACCTCAGTTGTAATGAGTGGGTATTTGAAATACTGTTGCCTTTCTATCAGCTGGAACCAGTCTGGCCATTATCCTCTGACCTCTGGCATCAACAAGGTATTTCCACCCACAGACCTGCCACTCACTGGATATTTTCTCATTTTCGGACCATACTCTGTAAACCCTAGAGGTGGTTGTGCATGAAAATCCCAGTAGATCCGCAGTTTCTGAAATACTCATACCAGCCCGTCTGGCACCAACAACCATGCCACGTTCAAAGTCACCTAAATCACCTTTCTTTTGCTATCTGATGCTCGCTTTGAACAGCAGCAGATTGTCTAGACCACATGCCTAAATGCATTGAGCTGCTGCAATGTGATTGGCAGATTAGAGATTTGCATTAACAAGCAGTTAGACGGGTGTACCTAATAAAGTGGCCGATGAGTGTATGTCTTCACAGATAAGTTCGTATCATAATCATGACAGAAATGTACAAGTATACTAAATAAAAAGCAGAAGTTATTGGAAAGTACTACCTGAAATGGTTGCAAAGATAAACTGTGACAAACTTCTGCTCTTTAATATGCCAATTATGATATATTTTTTCTTCAACGATGTGAAATTGAAGGTATTAACTAAAACGAAAGACCTGGAAGGAACACAACACTTTGAAAAGGAACTTAATTTTTTTTTCCTCCCACCCAGTGTTTTTTTTTACCTATTTTTTCCCCACCAACAAGTGCCTTCTGGGTCTCCGTAGATTTTTGACAACTAGCTGATTTAGAAAAATTTTAAATGCTGAGATTACTGAAACTAAATTTGGTAAAAATAAAAAAAAAAATAAAATAAAAAAAAAATAAATAAATAAATAAATATATATATATATATATATATATATATATATATATATATATATATATATATATATATATATATATATATATATATTTAAAAGATGGAAATGGGAACATAAACATCTAATAAAAATATAAAAGCACATAGATGAAAATATTAAAATAGGTTATTAAAATAATTTAGTACTATAATATAATTTTTAAATATTAAAAAAATATATCTAAGTTTGCCTCAAAGTGTATGAGGCCAAAAGAATTAATGCCTAATAAATAAAAAATATATTCATTCATTTACTTTCTTTTTGGCTTAGTCCCTTTATTAATCTGGGATCGCCACAGCGGAATGAACCGCCAACTTATCCAGCAAATGTTTTACGCAGTGGATGTCCTTCCAGCTGCAACCCATCACTGGGAAACATCTATACAAACTCATTTACACACATACACTACAGACAACTTTAGCTTACCCAATTAACCAATAGCACGTTTTCAGAGCACCCACAGGAAACCCACGTGTACACGGGGAGAAATTCTAACTGACCCAACCGAAGCTCGAACCAGCGACCTTCTTGTTTTGAGGTGACAGCGCTACCCACTGCGCCACCTCATCGCCAATAAAAATATATATTTTTATTTTTGAAGTACTGTGAGCTTTTGAGAGTGATAATGTGGCTTTGCTATGCTTTCTCGAGCACAATATAGGCAGTTAACTGCATTGACTGGATTAATATTGCAAATTGTTTCTTGTCTCTTTTAATTGACAATGAATGAATGCATCATTTCCAGGAATCCAAGTAGGGTTGGGCTTCTTGCTGTGCTGAGAGCACTTTCAGTCCTTTTACACAGACACATCCCTTCCAAACCACAAGATCAAGATTAGGCATCAGCTGTTGGATCAAAGTCAAATGCAGGAAATGAGCGAGCGAATGTCATGAGTCTCTGAATCTGTAGATATTATACACTGTAACATACTATATCTGTAACATATTACACACCAGCCAAATAAAACCAGACTGAGAATAGGTATATATTTTAGCATAAGGATTTTCTAAACACTGCTTTTGTGTTTATCAGGAATGTAAAAACATGCTGGGACATGTTCCTCATCTTGTGGTAAACACACATTGTGTGCTTTTTGTCTGGAAAAGAACAAGGTGGAGCAAGGAAACTTTTATTCTAATAAGATGCATTTAACTGATCAAAGGCAAAAGTACACTGTTGCATCTATACACAACATTTCTAAAAATAAATGTTTGGGTTTTTTTGGACATTCTTTCCTGAAACACCATTACTGTTTAAACAACATGATAATAAGAAATGCTTGTTGAGCACCAAGGCAGCACGGTGGCGCAGTAGGTAGCACAATCGCCTCACAGCAAGAAGAGCACTGGTTTAAGTCCCGGCTGGGTGAGTTGGCATTCCAGTTAGGAGTTTGCATGTGCTCCCCGTGTTCGTGTGCGTTTCCTCTGGGTTCTCTGGTTTCCCCCACAGTCTATAGGTGAATTGGGTAAGCTAAATTGTCCGTATTGCGAATGAGTTTGTAATGATCTTGAAATGTCAGCTCTGTAATCATTAGATTAAATACAATTTAAAAAATTGCAAAGTTTATTTAACTAGTCCACAATATTATGTTTAGGTGAACCACAAATCATTGCTATTAAAAAAAAGTTTACTTTGGTAATCGTCACGCAAAATCTGACCATTTGCTCTTGTGTTTTTCTATTGACATCAGTTTGATGCGTCAGCCACAATAATCTTAATCACACCCCACTTACTTTTATTTTGCTATGAGGAAATGATGCGCAACAATAAAGCCCCGCCCCCTACTCAATGTTCCATTTTAGTTGGAAATGCATCAACAAACTTACATAAAAGTCTTTAAACTTTAGGTTTGACGCTTCAGCCACAATATTCTTTACCACACTCGTCTTACTGTTAGTTTGCCTCAAGGAAATGATGTGCAAATATAAACCCCGCCCCCTACTCAATATTCCATTTCAGGTGGAAGGACAGTATATCAAAAATCGGAGCAACTCCCAGTTTGACGCTTCAGCCACAATATTCGTGATCACGCACCTCTTGCCATTATTTTGCTATGAGGGAATGATGCTTAGAAATAAAGCCCCGCCCCCTACTAAATATTCCACTTCATTTGGACGTACATCAACATAAATAAATGAAAGGAAATAACAGTCTTTAAGCTGCCGGTTTGACACTCCAGCCACAGTATCCTTAACCACGCCCCTCTTTGTGTGCTAAGAGGGAATGATGAGCAAAAAGTAAGCCCCGCCGCCTATTTAATATTACATTTCAGTTGGAAGTAGATCAGCATACTGAAATAAAAGACTTTAAACTTTCTGTTTGACACTTCAGTCACAATATTCTTAACCACACCCCTCTTACGGTTAGTTTGCTGTAAGGGAATGATGCACAAAAATAAAGCCCGCCCCCTACTGAAAGGCTGCGTCCGAAACGCCTACTACTCAGTTGGTACTGCATTTGAATTTAAACGTACTACTCTGCCTTTAGAAAAGTGTGTTCTATAGAGTATGAATGCGAAATGTATGAATGGAATTCGGACGTACTACTTCCGCCATTTTGTCATGGTCACGTGACCTACGTGCGTCAGTTGCATCCCTTCACTCACATTCATGAATTTTCTGGCGGGGCATGATGGGATAGCAGAGTGTGCATGGGATGCGCACTTCAGAATCCCGCCGAAAGTAGTAAGTCATCCGGGTACTTCTCGCATCCTGATTTTCGAATTCTATGAATTCTGACATACTAGTCAGCTCGCATACTGATTTTAGCGTACTGTATAGTATGGAAGTATGCGATTTTGGATGCAGCCAAAGTCTGGTTTTATGCAGTCTCAATCATTTACCTTGTTAGTAGTATCGCACAATTCTTCCAGTGCACCTAGAAAAGTCCCACAATGCACCATTAAAATCAGGGCACACCGGTGTTTCCTTAAGGAAAGTTTGCAATTGACATACATGAATCGTGTGAATTAAATCATCATACATAACGACAAATGAAAAAGTTTGTCTAAAAGGAAAATGTTATTTATTTACGTTAACATGAACAAACATAGCTAGACAGGTTAAGAACAAACTAGCAATATAACTCGTAGTCGTAAACGTTTGTAAACTTTCTTCTTTCTATTCCACAGCTAACTTCTTGCCCATGGTGAAGACGCCATCTGGGCTGGTGGGTGAAGAAGCTGCTAGCCTGCCCGCACCAGGATTAAACAACCCTCTCAACATGTCAATCAAACATCCGCTAATTGAGCTGCAGTGAGTACACGTTATGTTTACTACATCAGAGAGTCAGGTATCAACACCAGCATTAGATTTGCATTGTTTTAAGGTTATGGATTGGGGTGGGTTTGGCCTTATTAAATCTTCAAACCACATTGCACCACGTGAACATTATGCTGATTAGTGCTGTTTAGTGACCCAATGTGTACAAACTTGATCCAACAATTATAAAGGAATGTATTTACATAATATATACAGTGTGTCGACAGAGTCTTACATTTCAAAAACAAAATTTTAGGCCATAAAAATAATTAACTTCACTGAAATGTTTTATTGTAGGTCTTAAATAATTTCTAACAGGTCTTAATTTTCCCATGTCCTGCTAAATCAGGACAACCTCCATCCCAATAAAACTTTTAACAAAAGCTTATTCATGAACTGTATTTACCAATATGGTTTTAATTTCTTACTTACAGTAATCTTTGTAAAGTTTTCCATGTATTTAGAGCTACCTGGTAAGGGCAGATAGTTATGCATACATGAAAGTTGTATGTATGCTGTATGTATAAGTTTACTTGTTTTGTGACATTATTTGATTAGTTACTATTATTTTGTATGTGATTAGTCACAATTAATCGTTTAACTGTTTTGATACTCATAGCACAATCTGATCATTTCATATGTTATTGCCAAAATTTGTATGCGATTAGTCACGATTAGTCGTTTGACTGTTTTATTGCTCTTAGCACAATCTGACATTGAGTTTTTTGTCGCCAATATTTGTATGTGATTAGTTACTTTTATTTTGTATGTGATTAGTCACAATTAATCGTTTAACTGTTTTGATACTCATAGCACAATCTGATCATTTCATATGTTATTGCCAAAATTTGTATGCGATTAGTCACGATTAGTCGTTTGACTGTTTTATTGCTCTTAGCACAATCTGACATTGAGTTTTTTGTCGCCAATATTTGTATGTGATTAGTTACTTTTATTTTGTATGTGATTAGTCACAATTAATCGTTTAACTGTATTAATGCTCATAGCACAATCTGATAATTGATTTTTTTGCCGCCAATATTTGTATGTGATTAGTCACGATTATTCATTTAACTATATTAATGCTCATAGCACAATCTGATAATTGATTTTTTTGTCATCAAAATTTGTATTAGTTACTTTTATTTTGTATGTGATTAGTCACGATTAATTATTTAAATGTATTAATGCTCATGGCACAATTTGATAATTGATTTTTTTTTCACCAATATTTGTATGCGATTAGTCACGATTAATCATTTAACTAAATTAATGCTCATAGTACAATCTAATTAATGAGTTTTTGTTGTCAAAGTTTGAATGCGATGAGTTAAATATTTTTTATGCGATTAGTCACAATTAATCGTTTAACTGTATTAATGCTCATAGCACAATCTGATAATTGAGTTTTTTGTCGTTAAAATTTGTATGCGATTAGTTTTATTTTGTACGCGATTAGTATTACTTTCTATGCGATTAGTCACAATTATTCATTTTACTATATTAATGCTCATAGCACAATCTGATAATTGATTTTTTTGTCATCAAAATTTGTATTAGTTACTTTTATTTTGTATGTGATTAGTCACAATTAATCGTTTAACTGTATTAATGCTCATAGCACAATCTGATAATTGAGTTTTTTGTCGTTAAAATTTGTATGCGATTAGTTTTATTTTGTACGCGATTAGTATTACTTTCTATGCGATTAGTCACAATTAATCATTTAACTGTATTGATGCTCATACTGTAACACAATCTGATAATTGAGTTTTTCATGGTCAAAATTTGCTACCTCCTGTTTTAATGCCAGGTTGCAAGATTTGATCGGGTTGCACAAATCAACAGAACACTAGCATTAAGAGGATATTTGTGGCAATCTGCGTCAGTACTTTCTAAACATTGTTTGAAATCCTCAGAATTTCTCTAGAATTATTAGGGAAGTTGGACTGTTACTCACAAGCAGCAAATATGACACTTCCTAATATCTTATACATGAGAGTGTCTTATAAGCTGGGCTTCCCCTCTTAATAAATACTCCTATTTACAAATGATATAATTAAACGATTAATTAAAGTGAAAAATTATGAACAATTGACAGATGTTGTAACTTTTTATTAATATATTTAATAATTAAAATGTTTTACACTTACATTATAAAATGTAAAAAAAAAAAAAAGAATGATTATTAGATTATTATTATTATTGTCACTATAAAAGGGATTGCTTATATCTAACAATAAACCAAATGTGCTTGTTTTCCCTCACTGAAACTAATATACGATTGGGAAGTGGTTGTCACGTCTGTCTTAATGAGGATGTGGGATGTTGCTTCTATTTTTGAATAAACTGCATCATTTCACTCGTTTCATCATCATCTGCGATGGCTAAATCATTAAATTGACATAACAGACACTCAAAGAAGAAGGAAGACTCAGAATATACTCTAAAGTCAAGTGTGGATGTATTGCTTACACACTTGATTGATAAGTTTAAGACATAGTAAAGATTTCCAAATACACAGCAGAACCACAGTTTTACATAAATAAAGGAATTGGAAAAAAAGATCGGTGGTTTTGTGTTCTCCTTGAAATAACCTGAAATATTACTAAGCACTTTTGATTTTTGCACTTGCCCTAAGATTTTTTTTAGCAGGAACACAGAAGTAGCAGTCTGAGCTGTAGATTTAAAAGCCTTTTGCGTCATCTGTGTTTTTTTTACTGAGAAACAAAGAGAGAACATGAAGAAAAAGTGCACAATGTTTATCTACTTATAAATCTGACATTGTAACAATACAAAACTGGTTTTAGCCTAAAGCGGTTTCCTAACACATTTCAACCTCTTCCTAATCAAACACACCCAAATCCACTCATGAAAACATTAGAAGAGACTCCAAAAGCTCAAATGAATGGGTCAGATATGGGAGACATTCAAAATATGTACTGTTGGTGTGCCTCCAAGAACAGAGTTGGGAAACACAGGCCTAAAGTATATTTCTTATTTGTTTGCATACATAATAGGGATGCCACGGTTCTCAATATAATATTGAACCTTACGGTACGTCCTCCACGGTTAAATACGCGCTTGTGAATTGCGGTTTTCGCAGTTTTGCGTTTAAATAATTTATGTGCGTTTTATATCCCCCCGAATAGACTGTGTGTGCTTGTAAGTCCATGAGCTGAGATGAGGAAACTCCTCGCCGTGAGTAAATATCCAATCACCATGCTCTAAAGTTAGGGGGCGCTTGACCATCATTTAACGCTTTAACATTGCGAGCGGCGGTGAGGTGAGGCTGAGGTAACAGTACAAGGAAGCGCCGGCGAAGGCAGGCAACAGTACAAGAAAGCGCTGGCGTCTTTCAAATCTGCGGTTTGAGGACATTTCGGTTTTGCCGGTAAGCATAATACCAATAAAAGGAAAAACGGTGAACAAAAAATAACTGTGTGCAAGCATTGTTTTACACATATAACCATGACTGCACATCTGCAGCGCCATCACCCAGCTATATCACTGTCTGAAGGCAGGACAGCAGAGAAGGTAATACAGTCCTCCAAATAGCAACAATCCCTTGCTGAATCTTTCAAGCAAACATACCCAACTGGTTCCGAGAGACACATAAAAATAACAAAGGCAGTGCGGGTGTTTATTGCTAAAGATTTGCAGCCGTTTTCGGTAATTGGAGATGTGGGCTTTTGTCATCTTATAAAAGCACTCGATCCGTGTTACAGACTACAGTCTCACATTTTTTTCAGCAACGAGATAATTAAGATGGTTTATTTATGTTTACTTAATTACAAATATGTTTATTCGAAATGGCCAGTTTATCTTTATTAACTTCACATGTATGTTTATTTTTAAAGTGTAGGATTTTATGTCTTCCCCAGTTTGTACATGGGCTACCAGAAGCTGTGAGATTTCAGTGTTATTTTTTATACAATACACCAGGAACTACTGTACTTTTCTTGGCTTTTAAGTAAAACAAAATGGGTATGGCAATAAATCGTTTTTATTTTTTCTACTTAATCTCTTACGGTTCCTATTGCCTATAGAATAAAAAAAAAATCATGTGTCAAGCCATGAGAACCGAACCGAAAACCGTGTTAAAAAACCGAGGTATGTATTGAACCGTGGGCTAACTGTATTGTTGCATCCTACTAGACATGACCTATGGTACAGTATGCAGACAAATGTCCGTGTGTGTGTGATTCAAATCTTATCATTACAGTGCGGTGTGTATAATTGTGGTAGCAATGCATTTTCATTCATTATACTTTATTTATTTTTGTCATGGTGACTGTGAAACACCTCATTTATATAACTTTTATTGAAAAAGTATGTATTTTTGTCTTAGTTCAGGTGTTTTTTTACCAAGATCATTGCACTGTGACTTTAAAGGTGACCTATTATGCACAAATCCCTTTTTTTAAGGGGTTTAGACACAGTTATGTGGCATCAATCTGTGAATGTAACCAGCTTCTAATGGTAAAAATGTATTTATTTTACTTGTAATGATCACACTTCATTGCTTACCACAGGTTTGCGGTGTTGGCCAGATTAAAACGCATAATTTACCCACATCACAAAAGTAGTTAACTAAATGCGACAAACAAAACCAAATTTTTAATGTAATTTTTAACAATCATTTTATTTATTATGATACTTTTATACACTGTTTCTTTTTCAATGGGTTAAAGTTAAAAAAGACTGAAATAAAAAAAAAACACTTTTAATTTATTCAGGAGCCACGTGCACCCACTGACATGTAAAATCTACTTCTCTCTTGAATGCCAAAGCATTTTAGATATGTATATAAAATAGCTTATGTAATATAATAACATCGTCAAATCAATAAAATAATCAGCAAATGACAAATAAATGACAGAAAAGGAATAAAAGCAAGCAAGATCACTAAAAATTTTCATAATTATAAGATTAAAACTTGTTGATTATTTAATTCATTCATTTTCTTTTCAGTTTAGTCCCTTTTTTGGCATGGACCGGTATAAGATTCTGACGGCACGATATCCTTGAATAAAAATATCACAGTTTCACTGTATTGTGATTACTAATATGTTTTATTTTGAGAAACATTTATAATATTTTGAGACAGTAAACGTGTCAGGCTAAATAATTCAAATGAGTCATTGACTTCTGCAGTCTTCATTTGTTTAAAAAAAAAACTGATTTCTTTTCAATTTAAAATGGCATCTCTGGATATATTTTCTGCTGGAGATACTGTTGTCCTAAAAAACTAAAAAATGTAGATAAAAAATCGTACACATACCTTATGAATGGTATAGCAGAACATTTTGCCGGTTTTAAAAAATGGATTTTTCCAAACCGCGGTATACCTTGAAAACGGTTATCATAGTCCCTTTATTAATCTGCGGTCGCCACAGCGAAATGAACCACCAACTTATCCAGCATATGTTTTACGCAGCGCATGCCGTTCCAGCTGCAACCCAACACTGGGAAATTGTACATTATTTCATTAAGGCAAATGTGTTGTTTAACCATTACTAATGGTGTACATAAAATTAGCAGCCAATTTAGACCAGTTATTTCGCCCTCTTCAAGTATATAGTAAAGTTTTTCAGAGTCGTTAACATTCAAGAAGGAATTATTTAATGTTGCTCTTGCGACTGTGCGTGCGCAGTCAGTTGCAAAGCCAAGTGAAAAAAGGCTTAAGTATGGAGATAAAGAAAAAATGCATAAGACAGCTTTAGAAAGCGAAAGTAAAAGTTGGATCGCGGACATTTTTAAAACCCGGGCCGAATGATTTTTATAAGTCCCGAAAAGGCGCATCTTTGTGGCTCTGCTGAGCACTTGAGGCTGTCTGCGGGAGTGTTGACAGGTCTGGCGCTAAAAGAACGAAACAGGTAAACGACAGAAAATTTTGCACTACTTAATCAATCGCAGATGTTTGGTTATATTGTGTGGATACAACAAAGTGTAAAAGAATTATAAAGTTAAAAAAATGTGTCACTAAATATACTTGGGTGGCCGTTAATATACCTGGACGGCCCAACTAAGCAAAGTCTATGAGTCAGAGACTAAAAACAGTCTGCAGAAACATTTTGATTGACATTCTCCCTTTATACGAATCATCAGTGGTAGAAAGCCCCACCCATTAGAGACGATTTCTCCCCCATTAGCATAGGACGTTAGTCTTGTTTTTGAATTTGCCACTATGCTGACACCTAGGCATTTGTAGCTCTGCTGTTCTTATTAAAAAAAAGCACCTCATTTGAATTTAAAGCTAAAACGGCACATTTAGGATAAAAACCCAAAAGGGGCAGTTTCAAAGCGTTATAAACCATTATCTGTGGGGTATTTTGAACTGAAACGTCACATTCACACTCAAGCGACATCAGAGACTTATTTTACAACTTGTAAACAGGGCATAATAGGTCTCCTTTAATATGACTCAATGTCAACATTATAGTTATTTCAGTAATTCCTCAAAGTATGTCTGTGTTTGATTTACAGAAATACAATGCACAGTTTCCGTAACCGGCAGTCCCAGGAAATCCGACAAAGTGTCTTCCATATTGACGACCCAGGTGACACCCAAAAAACAACCTCACCGAAGACATCCAGTACGCACTTCAACTTATTCACCACAAATATACCAAGCTGTTTTGAATTTTAAAGGGTTATTTTGCCCAAGAATTTAACTTCTAATTACTCAACCTCATGTTGCTCCAATCTTCTGAAACCTTTGTTTATCTTCAAAACACAAATGTAGATATTTTAGATGTAATCAAGTAGTTCTCTCATCCTCCAAAAACAGCAACGGCAAGAAACTGGACAAAAAAAACCTTGTCAAAACATTCAATGTGTTGAATACGAAGCTTCAGGAACACTTTTGTACACCAAAACTGTAAAATCGACTTTTATTATCCTTATTGGGCTGGGTGCGCATTTATTAAGGTCAGTATGATGTCTCACCAATAGACTCAGCAGTGCAAATATCTTATTGCTTGTATTACACGTGATCCGATATGGAATACATTGGCAACAAAGTAATTTTTACAGTTGATTGGTTTGGTTTTGGTTCCACTGCAGTCTATAGAGGATGAGGGAGCTCTCAAATGTAATCTAAAATATCTTAATTTGTGTTCTGAAGATGAATGAGGGTCTCAGGAGATTGAAGGGACATGAAGTTGAGTATTTCATTATATAATTCTTGGTGAAACTAGCCTTTTAATTCTAACAATCACCTTTCTCTGTAGCCTTAGTAGTCCCTGCAACTACTTCATATCAAGCCCCAGAATCTCCTGTTAAAGCTAAATGTGAAGACCCGCACCAGAACAACATTTCCACCATATCGCAAAACAGGAAGAGCGGCAAAGAAAGATCCAGATTTTTGGACCTTAAGGACACATCTCAACTTCAGCATGAAAAACTTTCCCTGGCTGAAGAGGTCAAAGCTCAGAAGGTAAAGTGAGGACATTACACACCACTTCATCTTCTTCTTCCTGTTGGTTTATTGATTGCTTATGTAAAATTAAAAGAGTAGTTCACTTTCAGAATGAAGGTTTTCTGATTGTTTACTCACATCCCCTGCAATCCAAGATGTTAATTTTTTTCAGTCAAAAAGACATTTCAGGGAAACATTGCAGGATTTTTCACAATATAGGGTAATTCTATGCTGCTCAATGGTTTAAACTTCCAAACTGCAGTTTTACTGAAGCTTAAAAGGGCAAGTACTTTTTTTAAAAAATGAAAATGACCGATCCTTTCACTGAGATCGCCCTTTGTAGTTAAATTAAAACTGCAATTTGGAAATTCAAATGACCGAGCACCATAGACATGCTCTATATGGAGAAAAATACGGTTTCCTTTTCTTTTTGACTGAAAAAAGAAAGAATAAACCTCTTGGATGACACAATTATGTGTACATTTTCAGAAATGTTTCACTAACCCTTTAATGCAACATTTAAATGTATAGATTTTCAGCCTTAAAATAATGATTTAAGTGATAGTACAAACCTTAAATCTATTGCCGCTGCTACCAGAGCTCCTGTCCCTAAAAACTTGTAACTTTAGGTGTCTGGTTTGCTACATACAGCCTGTCCATCCTCATATTAACTGTTGAGTTTTACCATTTTTTTAAAATAGATTCAGTCAATCCGGGGTTGGCTGGGTGCTCTTTTAGCTTAGCTTAGCATAAATCATTGAATCGTATTAGACCATTAGCATCTTCAAAAATTCAAAAAAGAGTTTAGATAATTTTTCTATTTAAAGACTCTTCTGTAGTTACAACGTGTGCTAAGACAGACAAAATATTTTTAAGTTGCTATTTTCTAGGCCAATATTGATAGGAACTATATTTTTAATTTCATTTAACTTTCAGTATAGTTCCTAGCCATATCCACCTAGAAAATAAAAAAAAATGTTAATAGCAGTTTTTTCTTACACTTTCATATACTTTTATAATAAATATTATACATAAAATATATCTTTTTTTTAAATCTGTTTAATATTTTCTAGATCGATATGGATGGGAACTACACTTATTTCATTTTAATATAGTTCCTAGCCATATCGATTTAAGTTTCTGTCGGTCTTAGGACAAGACGTAACTACAGAAGAGTCGAGCTTTAAATAGGAAAAACATCTAAGCTCTTTTTTTTTTTTTTTTTTTTGAGTGAGATGCTAATAGTCTAATCTGATTCAATGGTTTATGCTAAGCTAAGCTAAAAGTGCTCTTGCCAGATATTAAGGATCGGCTGAATGGATTCAAAAGAGTAAAACTCAATGAGCCAATTTCCAAATTCTGCATATGTTGACCTAGAAAAAACAACTTTTAAGCTTTTGTCGATCTTAGTACCCCAGGTAACTACACTCTCAGAAATAAAGGTAGGCGAGCTGTCACTGGGGTGGTACCTTTTCAGAACGTACAAATTTGTACCTTAAGAATTCACATTAATACCTCAAGGGTACATATTAGTACCAAAATAGCACAAAAGTGTTCCTCTTAAAATTTTTAGGTACTAATATATATTTTTGAGGTAAACAAAGTGGACCATTTAAGTACAAATGTGTACTTTCTAAAAAGGTACCACCCCAGTGAAAGCTCTCTTACCTTTATTTCTGAGAGTGTACAGAAGGTCAAGCTGAAAATTATCTTAAGATTTTGTAGTTTTTTTTGAGCAAGATGCTAATGGTCCAATCCAATTCAATGATTTATGCTAAGCTAAGCTAAGCTAAAAGTGCTCTTTCCAGACATGAAGATCAGCTGTATGAATTTAAAAATGGTAAAACTCAATGAACAAATTTCCAAATTCTGCTTATGTTGACTTAAAAATTAAACTCTTTTTTTATTTTTAAAAAGAGATGCTAATGGCCTAACCTGATTTAATGATTTGTGCTAAGCTAAGCTAAAAGTGCTCTTGCCAGACACGTTGATCGGCTGAATGGGTTTAAAAATGGTAAAACTCAATGAACAAATTTCCAAAACCTGCATGTCGACCTAGAAAATAGCAACGTTTAAGTTTCTGTCGGTCTTAGTACACAACGTAACTACAAAAAGTCAAGCTGTAAATAGGAAAATTATTTAAACTCTTTTTTTTTTTTGAATCGTTAAAAAGAGATGCTAATGGTCTAATCGGATTCAATGATTTGTGCTAAGCTAAGCATAAAGGTCTCTTGCCAGACATCAAGATCAGCTGAATGGATTAAAAATGGTAAAACTCGAGTTAATTTCCAAAACCTGCATGTGTTTTCAGGAGTTAGTGCTGCTGTTACATAAAGTTCTGGAAGCGGCTCAGCTAGAGAAGCGCACCTGTGCTCAGTTTCTGGCTGCGGAGGGAGAGCAGGAGCGTATGGAGCTTCTCAGACATGGGGAACGGCGTGCGGCTGAACTACGAGTCCAGCTGGAGGCCCTACAACAAGAGAACGAGAACCTTCGGAGGGATTTAACCCAGAGGGACGAGCATGTTGCCGAACTGCAAAACAGCATCCAGCTTCTGCTGCAGAAGAACCAAACCAAACAGGAAGTGATTTTGAAACTGTCTGAGAAGTTGACAACCTGCGGGGAAGACCAGCAATACACCAATGGATTGGAGTCAGAGACTTTCAGACAGATGACAATGGAGAACGAGCAACTGAAGGTGAGGAAAAGTGCTTTTTTGGGGGAAGAAATTAATATTCAGGTCAAAATTTAACCCTTTATTAGCCAAGGAAGCATATATGATATATTTATACACCTATAGCGCATGTCTTTGGACTTGTGAGGGAAACTGGAGTACCGAGGAGAACATGCAAACTCCACACTGAAATGCCAACTGGGCCAGCCAGGGCTCAAACCAGTGATCTTCTTGCTGTGAGGCGATTGTGCTACCCACTGCGCCACCGTTATGCTCATTAGTGATATATATATAAATATATATATATATACACACACACACACACACACATAATATATATATATTTATATATATATATATATATATATATATATATATATTCAGGTCTGTTTAACAGATAACACACACACACACACACACACACACACACACACACACACACACACATATATATATATATATATATATATATATATTCAGGTCTGTTTAACAGATAAATATTTCAACACATTTTTAAACATCATTCATTCATTTTCTTTTCGGCTTAGTCCCTTTATTTATCCGGGGTCGCCACAGCGAAATGAACCGCCAACTCATACAGCATGTTTTTACGCAGTGGATGCCCTTCCAGCCACAACCCAGCTCTGGATAAATTTTTAAACCTAATACATGTAATAACTAATTTATAATAGCTTATAATTCTTTTGTCTTTTCTATGATGACAATACATAGGATTTAACCAGTTATTTAGCAAGATACTAGTATTTAGCTTAAAATGCTAATTATAGGCTCAAATAGATTAATTACGTTAACTAGGCAAGTTAGGTTAATTTGGTCAACATTTTTGGACACATGCAGTTTGTTCTGTAGACAATCAAAAATAATAACTTATATTGCAGTAATATATATAAATGTAACAAAATGTAATATTATAATTTTGACTTTTAAAATTCTTTAAAAACTGCTGTTATTCCAGCCGAACTAAAAGGGGACAAAAGTTCTGTTGAAGAAATAAAATAAAATAGGAAATACTGGGAAAATGTTCTTGCTTTGTTTAACATAAATATAGAAATATTTGGGGAAAAAAACTAGAAAAAATTAACAGAAGGGTTCATAAATTTGCCTTTAACTCTATAAAAAATATAGTAAAAAAATGATCAAATACTTATCAAATAAATTAAATCAAAAACTTAAATTGATCAATTAAAATTGTGAAAGAAATGTTTTCTCTTCATAGATGCATTATTTATGAGCAGCTAATCTGCATGATCTGATTCTGAAAGCATATTTACAGCTCCTTAACTCTATTCCAGGATGATCTGAAGGCATATAACATCCAGAACCAGTACCTAAACTCTGAGATCTACCAGCTGACGATGCTTTGGAGAAAAAGTTCTGAACGGGAGAAAAGTCTTATAGTAAAGGTGAATTATTATTATTACATTCCTGGTACTACCATTTAGTCAAGCTAGTAGAGTCTGAAAATAGGTTTTCTATGTGTGTGCCAGTGTGCTGTTTTGGAGGCCAATAACTGTCAGATGGAAAGCAGATACCTGGGAATCCTCCAGAAGCTCCAGGAGAGTCAGGAACTGAACCCTGAACAGAGAGAAGCGGTCAACAAGATGCTTAAAGATGCGGTTCAAGCAGACCTGAACAATGCCATCAAACTAAACCCCATCAGGTAAACACATCTGTCTGTATAAGCACAATTAAAAATTATATATATATATATCAGTTTCCCATATGAATGTCAAAAGGTTTATTTATGTTGACGAAAAACCCTCGCAACTCCCATTATTCCACAGTGATTATGATGAGTATGGATTTAGGATCGCAGTAGACTATAAAGTGGAGGATCTGAAGCTGCTTGCTAAGATCCAGGCCCTAGAGTTCAGGTCCCAAAACCTGCTGAACCAGGAGGAATGTGACGGGCCTTTGCTGGCTCGTTGCGCTCAGCTCCTGTTCGGACGTCCTGAAGGCGAGCTTACTTCATCGGCAGAGATGAAGGGTCTGCTCCGGACGGGATTACCACACGAGTACCGCGTGAGGGTGTGGCGCTTCATGATACAGACTAGGACCAAGTCATTAAGAGAGCGCCATCCCGACCGCTATCACGAACTGTGTGAGAAAAGCAGAAGCTCGCCTCACCTGGTGCCCAGACAGATTCAGCTGGACCTGGACCGCACGCTGACCAGCAATAAACACTTTTCCCCACCGACAAGCCCCTTGATTCAGAAGCTGGAGAGAGTCCTGCAGGCTTTCTCATGGCACAACCCTACCATCGGCTATGTGCAGGGACTCAACAGGTAATTCAATTCCGATTGTTCATTAGGCTTTAAAAACGTTGTTTATATCAAATCTGTTATTATTTATGTAATTTATTAAATAAGTACATTGATAGAACTTAAGATTTTTTAAGGTTTATTTTTAAGTTGAATCAAGGTTAAAGAGCCCATATTATGGGTTTTTGAAAATGCCCTTCCATGTAGTGTGTAACACAGCTCTAACTGAAGTGAAGTATCCAGCTAAGGCTTAAATCTGTAAGAGTACAGTGTTTAAAGCTGTTGATTCAGCTATAAAAGAGTCGGCTCATAGTGCTTCAAACGAGTCGTCTTGATAACGAGTCATTAGGTGTTTCGCCATGACGTGACAATGAAGTTATTCACGCACACGCGCTAACCCGGGAGATTTGAAACCTGCACCCCCCCCACCCCCCCCACACACACACACACACACACACACACACACACACACACAAACACACAAACATAAACACACAAACATGCCGGTCGATTGAAGTCACACTGCAGATGGATATGATTGAGTCTCTATGCAAAGATGAAACCTCAGCATTATAACCCTTGAGCAGTTGGAAACTACTGGAAACTTGAAACTACATGCTACAAAGAATACTTTGTTTGTTAAAGGAAGGATCAGTACAGTGTACTGATGGACATGTCAGCACATGGATCGGTTTCTTCCTCTATTTCTCAAGTGTAAGTACGTGCGATTAAAGTTGTTGCCTCGTTTACTCTAGCTTGCAAATGTATTTAGTTCTGTATTGTATCAGGTTAACTGGTCACACTTTACAATAAGGTACATTAGTTAATGTTACTTAATGCATTTACTAACATGAACCAACAATGAACAATGCATTTACTTCAGTATTTTTTCATGTTAGTTAACGTTAGTTAATAAAAATACAGTTGTTCATTGTGAGTTCATGTTAACTCACTGTGCATTAACTAATGTTAACAAGCATGAGTTTGGATGTTAATAATGCATTAGTAAATGTTCAAGTATGATTAATAAATGCTGTACATGTGTTGTTCATGATTAGTTCATGTTAGTAAATGCATTAACTAATGAACCTTATTGTAAAGTGTTACCGGTTAACTCGCTATATTCTCATACGGCGTGCAAAGCCACGTTAAAAACGCGACGCATGCCGCTTTGTTTACGTTCCATAGAGGAGGGTAATATGTGTGTGTGTGTGTGTGTGTGTGTGCATGCACACGTTGTCGTCTGGAGGAGGTTTATGTGTGTGTGTGTGTGTGTGTGTGTGTGTGTGTGGGTTGTCGTCTGGAGGAGGGTTATGTGTAGTTATGTGTGGTTTTAGGAACAAATGAATCACTGGACGATTCATATGGGAGTCGCTGGGATAATTAGGTAAAAATAAATGCATGTTATAAGACCATGAAAATATTTTTTGACCTTGCAAGCATATTAGACTGTTGTTGGAGACCCCCAAAACCAAAATATGACCCTATTTCATGTATAATATGGGCTCTTTAAGTGACATTCTCGATTTTATTATTATTTATCGGTACACAGTATTATGGTGGCTTGAGAAAGCCAACATACTGTTACTGTATACTACATAAACCTATTATTCTTCCGTCTTCTTCTTTTTCTTTCTCTTCTTCTTCTTAGACTATTTTAAGAAAGCATCTCCTCCTAGACCGTTCATCCTACAACCACCAAACTAACTCCAAACCTCTAAACTATACTGAATTAAGCTGCTATATCTTTCCCAACTGATCCTACTAACGGTTTTCCGAAAACTGTCCCGGAAAATTTGAAAAAGTCACTCGCTTTTTTAATGTCTAATCATCTTGTTTAATCCCGCCCCTTTTCGCAGCGCCATACAACAGAATTTTGCATGCTTTAGCTCTAGTTTGGCTTTAGTCTTAGGGCTCTATTTAAACAATCTTGGAGCAAAGTCTAAAGCGCAGGGCGCTACAGCATTAAGAGAGTGTCCGAATTCATTTTTGCTTTTTTAAGGCTGAAAAAATATGCACTGCACCATGGTGCATGGTCTAACAGGGTTGTGCTTATTCTCTTAATGAGTAATGGGTATGTTTTGAGAATAAACCAATCAGAGTGTCATCTCCCATTCCCTTTAAGAGTCAATTGTGTCGCGCCACGGTGCATTTGCTATTTACATGGCGGACTTTGTAAGTGGAAAAACTGAGCACTTCGCTAGCTAGAAAACAGAGCATCTGTAGCGCGAGGATAAAGAACGAGCCACCTCCATTCAGCCTTTACTTTCACTTTCTGTTTCTCTCTTTCGTGGACAATGAAACGTGTTGTACGCACAGACATCCATTAGCCTACATAATTATTTCTGTTTGTGAAGCGCAAAGATTTGCGTCAAAACTATTTCTAAATTCAGTTCCAATTTCCATTAATAAATAAACAACAATAACGAAGTTATCCAAACGCAGGTGCTATGCCCAATATGGTCCAAAACCTGACAGGTGGACAAATCTAAGCTTGTTTTAAGTAAAACAAATATAAATATGCAGATAATAAATAATACTAATAATAATAACATTAAACAAAAGCAAATTGTCATGAATAAACTGAAAAAAAGCCCCCCGAGATGAAGAAGGCATGGAGGCAGTGGTTATTATATTTATGTATAAAGTATAAATTTTTGTAATATTTTATTCTATTAATTCTTTTTCATTTGTAAAGATATTGTTTATTGCTCTACATCATGTGTGTTGTAAGTAATGTGTAAGCGAAGCTCACAATTAATGAGCTCTGCGCTGGTTTATTGCAGTCTATTTTAGTTCCTCAAAATAGCAACGCGCCAAACAATGCACCTTAACACACCTCTATTCTAGACCCAAACACCCGTGAGTCCACAAAGTTGTGCAAATAGATTTTCTATTTAAACTGTTGGTCTGAAAATAGCAACACGTCAGGGCAAAAACGTCTTGTGCCTTAATGCACCGGGTGTATGATAGGGCCCTTAAAATGAAAGCATGAATCCATGCAAATGCTTCAAAACACACTTTTTTTGATAATCTTTTATCCAAACCTGACCATTTGCTTCCACTGTAGAATGGCAGTCGACTTGGGTGAAATATACATAGCCAGAACCCTTCAACCAGTCACAGATGAAAGGAGGAGCTTAAAAATAAAACCCCGCCCCCTATTCAATATTTAACTTCAGTTGGAAATATTTCATCGTACTGTAATAAAAGTCTCCAGCAACTTTCATTTATGCAGACTTTCAACTGCAGATCATCTATTCCTAGACCTGGTGGTGGTGATGTAGGGGCTTGCGCAAACCCACTTTTCCTGATGTTTTTAAACCATAAATTGGGTTCATGCCAGATCAATTTAGAAGCCAAGACAGTCACTAGCATGTTTCTTGAACCATTCTTGATGGTTCCGGTGGTCTGGCATTGCACATTATGCTGTTTTAATGGCTGACAAATCACATTTGCTAGAATGTGTCCACTTTCCTCCAAGCTCACAAAGATTGTGCTGTTGGGAAAAAGAAAACATTGACCACAGCAAAAAGCTGCCCGCCCAACAGTGCATCAAGTTGCAAGCACATCTGTGTGTAATAGACATATCTGCAATCTTCCATTAATATAATGGACAAGGAATCTTGGGTTTATTAGACCAGGCCACTTCCATTCACGGTCCATTTCATGCATTGTTTTTTTGATGGTGTACAGTTAGCACTTGGTTACACAAACATTAATGCAGAAGTCTGTGATAAACTGTGTGCTTCAGCACATTGCCCTGGTCACCACTGTTGTTGCACTGTGGCCCTGCAGTTGCTGTGAACGATGCCTGACTCTTTCCGCTCCCCTTGGTGGACATGTTCACAAGTCACTGAGTCCAAGTCAAGTCTAAGGCTGCATTCCAGTCCACTTTAAACACTTACTCATAAACTTCCCTACACTTGTTCCCTCAGGGGAATCCCTTCCACCATTTTTAAGTGCATTCCACTCAAAAAATGCTAGGTTCCACACAATCCATTAGTGTTGGGACGCCATGAAGAAACGAAGATAACTTGTACTTTCCTTTTTTTTTCTTTTACAAATTTGAGTGGATAGAAGATAAAACAAGTCGTCTCTAAAAAAAAACTCAAAAATAATGAATAGGTTCCTTTTAACAAACAGAAAACATCATTTCCGAGTGTATATTGTCCTTAATTTTACATTTGATTCATCACAATTCTGTACAATCCTTTGTCAATGCCCAACACTAGCAAATGTCAACAACAACAAAACCACTCTGCATGTAAAACGATTAGCCTTTCTTTTGTTCTAAACTGTCTAGAAACTATTTACTGCAAAATTTGATGAACTTTTATAGGCAATATCATGTGATATGCTGACATCTAGTGGTGATTTTTTAATATGATGAATAAAATCTCTGTGTTCAGACTTGCTGCCATTGCTCTGCTGGTACTACAGGAGGAGGCCGATGCTTTTTGGTGCCTGGTTGTCATTGTGGAACACATTATGCCTCCAAACTACTTCACTAAAGACCTGGTTGGCTGTCAGGTAAAACCTTCAATTCTAAACCTTAAGGCTCAGTTAAATCAGTAATACTCTTAACCATTATTGCAATTTGAACTTTTTTAAATACAATTTTTGTGCATCTAAATGTTTTCATAGATATACTATTCTTTTAAGGTACAATTGGTGTCTAATGTGTATGTATTATTGTCAAACTGTTATATTAATAATTCTTTAAATAATTAGTCACACAAGATGTATAAAGCAATAACGATATAATAATTATAAAAAAAAAAGCAAAAAAAGCAAAAAAAAAAGATATAGCAGAAAATCTTGATGTATTATGCAAATTATTAATCAAAACTATATATTTAACTAATTAAATCACAAATTCTGCAACATTAAATGTATATAAATATATTTTATAAAAGTGTCCATAAAATCTTGACAATTCTTTTACTGTACCATGTTTTACCTTTAAATTAATAGAATTACCTCCCAGAAGTAACATTTTCTCAACGATCTGATAAGATATCGGATCGGATAAGATCTGAAATTATTTTTCATCTGAAAAGTTTATATAGCATTTAGTGGAACTAAATGTAACACTGATCACACAGTTGTTGGGGGGTTAAAACATTGAAAATGGCCAACTCTGTTACCGTCAAACTACTGATACTAATAGCAGAGTTGACAAATATTACCATAAAAAACTTGTAAATTGCAAAATTATCTGCAATAATTTAATCAACTTCACACTACCTGACAAAAGTCTTGTCACTCTCAGCTGTAAGAGCAACAAATAATAACTTGACTTCTAGTTGATAATTTGGAAAAGTGGCAGATGGCCGAATTTTCAGATGAATCATCTGTTGAGCTGCATCCCAATCATCACAAATACTGCAGAAGACCTACTGGAACCAGCATGGACTCAAGATTCTCACTGAAATCAGTCAAGTTTGGTAAAGGAAAAATCATGGTTTGGGGTTACATTCAGTATGGGGGCGTTTGAGAGATCTGCAGTGTATGGCAACATCAACAGCCTGAGGTATGAAGACATTAGTGCCGACAAACCACAGGAGAGGGCAAATTGTTCAGCAGGATAGCGCTCCTCCTCATACTTCAGCCTCCACATTAAAGATCCTGAAAGCAAAGAAGGTCAAAGTGCTCCAGGATTGGCCAGCCCAGTCACCCGAGATGAACATTATTGAGCATGATTGGGGTAAGATGAAGGAGGAGGCATTGAAGATGAATCCAAAGAATCTTGATGAACTCTGGGAGTCCTGCAAGAACGCTTTCTTTGCCATTCCAGATGACTATTAATAAGTTATTTGAGTCATTGCAGAGATGTATGGATGCAGCTCTCCAAGCTCATTGGAGTCATTTACAATATTTATTCTTCTTCCACTGCAGCATGACTTTATATTCCATACTGGACATTATTTCTGTTTAGTGACAAGACTTTTGTCTAAGCAAAGTCAGACCTTACTGTCCTTATGAAATAATTAAAAATCAAGACATGATCATATTTTATTTTAGTAAAATAAGCGTAATCTAGAGGCCTTTGCCTTTCATATAAGCCGCTTCTGATCCCAAATGATCAACTAGAAGTCAAGTTATTACTTGCTGTTCCTTTGTTGTTGACTTTTGTCAGGTAGTGTATATTTCCACTTTAATGTTTCTCTCACACACTTCATCATCATCATCATCATCATCATTTCATCCACCCAGGCTGATCAGCGTGTACTAAAAGACCTCATGTTAGAGAAACTGCCTCGACTCACGGCTCATCTGGAAGCACTGAAAGTAGACATATCCCTCATCACAGTTGAATGGTTTCTGGTGTTGTTTGTTGAGAGTCTGCCCACCCGCATACTGTTTAAAGTATGGGACGCCTTACTGTACGAGGGCAGCAAGGTAACGTTCATCTATAACAAATAAAACAGTACAAAAGCTTTAGGCTAAATACTATGAACTAAACCCTTGCCTTTTCTCGTTAACACAGGTGATATTCCGATATGCCCTGGCTCTTTTCAAATATAGAGAGGAGGCCATCTTAAAGATTCAAGACAGTGTTGAAATGTACCAGTATCTTCGCATCTTCCCCAACACCATCGCAGACGGAAGGTGAGACGATCAATTGGAAATAAAACATTGAATGCGTGTTATTCAGACAGAAAGACTTCATTTTTGCAGGAAGTAATGTTCCAAGTACAAAATCTATGCTAGTAGAACATTCTTGTACAAAATAACCAAGAAAACCCATTTATTTTGCAGAAAACGTAGCCTTGGTTCGACAGACGAGGTTTAAAGCACTCAAAAAACGATGCATAGCGCAAGCTTTATGATTGATCGGTTTGGTATCGGTGACGAGTGTAGGCAGTGCTGAGTGCCACGAGCCCAATGTATCGGTGTTTACAAGTATCGAGTCCCGTGAAGGAGCTCCAGGTGAAAGCGTTTGTTTTGTTTACCTTGTGATTAAAGCTGTTGCACTTCTGCCGGTTCCCGCCTCTGAATGAGCGAGTTTTAGCTGCTTGTACAATTGAACACATACGGACCCTTACAGTCTCCGATATGTTAACAATTACAGAAAAACTACACACAGCAGATATTTAGTCCTTATTTAGGTTCAAAACAACACAAAATTTAGCCCACAGTCAGAGAAAACCTCTCATCTGCGTCTGTAATCTTCAGCAGCACATGTAGCCTCTGTTATATAGTAATTCCATCAGTCTGAGTTCACAATAGTCCAAAAGGTGATGATAATAGTTAAACATGGCAGTTTGTTCACATTTGCTTAAAAAAAAATACTGTGCTCCTTTTTTTCTACTTTGTTTTTTCGCTCTTCACTCTCACGTTTGTCAGTTCCTGACATGATCGGGTTTTCAAAAGCATGTCAATAATCAAGCGCACGTAATCATCATCAGCTCAAGAAGTTTGATATTTCAAAAATAGAAGCACGATGAGCGCAAGCAAAAAAAGCTAAACCGCTCGCGCTTCAGACTGGCTTGTAAAAGGGGCACAGGGTAAATCTGCTCTTCTTTTAGGCTTTGTGGCTGTTCATCAAGACGACGACAAGGTTTGTTTGAGCCCGTGTCGACCATGGCTCGTTATTATATGTATATATATTTACGCTGTAAAAGATCTCTTGGCTGTGCATTTTAAACATGGCGGCTCTTTTGTTTTCATTCTGGCCTGTTGCGCAAGCGAATGACGCATCTCTGTAAACCAATAGCGTTCAGCTGCGCGTCTAGCTCCGCCTTTTGGTATCCTTTCCTGTGTTTAGTCCCCTTTCGAATTGTGCGAAAAAAGTGGTAAGGTCCATTTCGGTATGCCTTTTGACAGTGGAACGGGCATAAAAGCTTAACAAACTGAACAGTACCACTCAGTGAAAATGGACCAATAGGTAGCATTCATCAAAAACGAAACACTTGAAAAGAAACTTTACACAGAGGAACATAAAAACACAGTGTCAACTTCCGTTTCAGAAGTGTATTTCAGAGCAACACAAGTAGCATGCAGAGGAATAAATAGACGACTACATGCAAGGCAGGCGCCGTAGGTCATGCTGATCACTCGACGCAGAAATATAAATCAGTCTTTAGTAGTTATGTGTAAGGCGGTCCGGTCCCTTCACCATTTTCAATGTGCTTTGTATGGAATAAAATCACTGTCATAAATATTTCATGCGTAAATAAAATTCACGCATCTGTAATTATAAAGACGTAAAGGTAAACGAAGTGTACTCGTAATTTTAGGAGGGTACAATTCTAAAATCTGCGTTTAGAACAGACACAGATATATTTTCTTTGTCTGTTTGTATATGACTGGTGAACTATCCCTTTAAGCTAACCCCTGTTTGTGAAACCGGCCCATAGTGATCAGAATTAGAGGACAGCATTGATTGGATCTCAAAGAAAGATTACAACTAAAATGTTGTTAAGGTTATCAGTCGGAAATGTGTAGGAAAAGTACAGACTCTGAGTTTGAATGAATTCAGCACATCTGCCACCTCAGGACATGAGCTTCGCTTGGGTTTTATGCCAGTTTTCAAGCCAGTTTGGCAATTCTCCTCTGACCTTTGCCATCAATTGCTACTGTCACCCACAGAACTTTCTTTTCACTTTCTCCTTTTGAAATGGTTCTCTGTAGACCAGAGATGGCCAAGCATGAAAATCCCAGTAGATCAGCGGTTTCTAAACAGTGACAGCGCAGCTATTTTTTGCCACAGTCAGACATCGCCATATAAAATTGATTAAGTCATAGTTAAACAAAGCGGGCTGCATCTGTCTGAGATGCAGTCACACAAATAGAAATGGAAAATGGGTCAGATGCCTCTGTGGTGAGGCTATTTTAAACGTATTCCCCTGATAAAATGTGCTCCACCTGTGCATTCCTGCTTCCAAACTATGGCACCGTTTCAAAAACACAAAGAAGAAAATCTGGCTTGGGGAGAGTCTTTCCAAACCACAGGTTTCTGCAGGAAATAAACCTCAGATAGTTCAATGAAGAGCTCAAAGTAAGATAACTAAAATTTAAGTTAATACTGAGTAAGAAAAGTACAGACCCTTGCTTTGAATCACTTCAGATCATCTGTGACCATCACTATAATACTAGTCTTTCACAGGCATCACTAGTGTCTTACTAGTCTCTCAGAAATGTACTAATCTCTCACATCATTAAATTTCTGTGAGATACCAGTATTATCTGCGAGAGACTGCTGAGAGACTAGTCATTAGCTTTGCATATTACTAATCTCTGATTAGCCTCTCAAACCTCATCACTAGTCTCTTACAGCACATTACTAATGTTTTACTGGCCTCTCACAGCATATTACCAGTCTCTCATAACCCTGTTGCAGCATATTACTAGTCTCTTACTAGCCTTACGGATCATTACTAGTCTTTACAGAACATTACTAGTCTCTTATTAGTCTCTTACTAGCTTCTTACAAAACAACACCAGTCTCTCACAGCAATTACTAGTCTCTTACTAGTCTTACAGAGCATTACTATTCTCTATTAGCCACTTACAGCACATTACTACTCGCTTACTAGCCTTTTACACCACATTAGGCTACTAGTCTCTTATTAGCCTTACAGAACATTACTAGTCTCTTATTAGCCTTACAGAACATTACTAGTCTCTTATTAGCCTCCCACAGAACATCACCAGTCTCTCATTAGTCTCTCGCAGCAATTACTAGTCTCTTACTAGCCTTACATAACATTACTAGTCTCTCATTAGCCACTTACAGCACATTACTACTTGCTTCCTAGCCTCTTAAAGGACATTACTAGTCTCTTATTAGCATCTTGCAGCACATAATAGTCTCTTACTAGCCTCTCACAGACCATCACTAGTTGATTACTAGCCTCTTACAGCACATTACTAGTCTCTTACTAGCCTTTTACAGAACATCGCTAGTCTCTTATTAGCGTCTTGCAGCACATTACTAGCCTCTTAAAGAATATCACCTGTTTCTCATAAGCCTCTTACAGCACATTACTAGTCTCCCATTAGCCTCTCACATCATATTACTAGTCTCTTACAGCACGTTACTACTCTCTTACTAGTCTGTTACAGAACATCACTAGTCACTCATTAGCCCCTTACAGCAATTACTAATCTCTAACTAGCGTCTCACAGCACGTTAGGCCTACTAGTCTCTTAAAGCACGTCACTAGTCTCTCATTTGCCTCTTACTAGTTTCTTACAGAACATAACTAGTCTCATTAGCCTTTTGCTAGTTTCTTACAGAACATAACTAGTCTCTCAGCCTCTTATAGAACATCACTAGTCTCTCATTAGCCTCTTACTAGTCTCTTACAGAACATCACTAGTCTCTCATTAGCCTCTTACTAGTCTCTTACAGAACATAACTAGTCTCTCATTAGCCCCTCAGCAATTACTAATCTCTTACTAACCTCTTACAGAACATCGCTAGTCTCTCATTAGCCTCTCACTAGCCTCTTACAGGACTTCACTAGTCTCTCATTAGCCTCTTACAGAACATAACAAGTCTCTCATTAGCCACTTACAGAAAATAGCTAGTCTCTTAGCCTCTTAAAGAATACCACTAGTCTCTCATTAGCCTCTTACTAGTTTCTTACAGAACATAACTAGTCTCTCAGCCTCTTACTAGTCTCTTACAGAACATAACTAGTCTCTATTTAGCCTCTTACAGAACACCACTAGTCTCTCATTAGCCTCTTACTAGTCTCTTACAGAACATAACTAGTCTCTCATAAGCCTCTTACTAGTCTCTTACAGAACATAACTAGTCTCTCATAAGCCTCTTACAGAAAACCACTAGTCTCTCATTAGCTTCTTACTAGTTTCTTACAGAACATAACTAGTCTCTCATTAGCCTCTTACAGAACACCACTAGTCTCTCATTAGCCTCTTACAGAACATAACTAGTCTCTCAGCCTCTTACTAGTCTCTTACAGAACATCACTAGTCTCTCAGCCTCTTACTAGTCTCTTACAGAACATAACTAGTCTCTCATCAGCCTCTTACAGAACACCACTAGTCTCTCATTAGCCTCTTACTAGTTTCTTACAGAACACCACTAGTCTCTCATTAGCCTCTTACTAGTTTCTTACAGAACATAACTAGTCTCTCAGCCTCTTACAGAACATCACTAGTCTCTCAGCCTCTTACTAGTCTCTTACAGAACACCACTAGTCTCTCATTAGCCTCTTACTAGTCTCTTACTGAACATAACTAGTCTCTCATCAGCCTCTTACAGAACACCACTAGTCTTTCATTAGCCTCTTACTAGTTTCTTACAGAACATAACTAGTCTCTCATTAGCCTCTTACTAGTTTCTTACAGAACATAATTAGTCTCTCAGCCTCTTACTAGTCTCTTACAGAACATCACTAGTCTCTCAGCCTCTTACTAGTCTCTTACAGAACATCACTTATCTCCCAGAGCCCCTCACAGCAATTACTAGTCTCTTTCTAGCCTTACAGAACATTACTAGTCTCATAAAGCACATTACTATTCTCTTACTAGTTTCTTACAGAACATCACTAGTCTCTCATTAGCCTCTTGCAGCACATTGCTAGTCGCTTACTAGCCTCTTGCAGCATATCACTAGTCTTACAGAATATCACTAGTTTCTCATTAGCATCTTACAGCATATTACTAGTCTCTTACAGCACGTTACTGCTCTCTTACTAGTCTCTAACAGAACATCGCTAGTCTCTCATTAGCCTCTTCCAGCAAGTTACTAGTCTCTTACAGCACATTAGTCTCTTACTAGCCTTTTACAGCATATTACTAGTCTCTTGCTATCCTTTTACAGCACAGCACATCTCTTATTAGCTTCTTACAGCACATTACTAGTCCTATACAGCGCATCATTAGTTTCTCATTACCCGCTTACAGCATATTACTAGCCTCTCAGAGCACATCACTACTCACACAAAAGAGAGTCTTTCAAACCACAAGTTCCTCCAGGACATGAGTGTCAGAGTTCATCATTGGCGTTTCCTCTTTACCATCGCTGGTCTTGTTGTCCACAGGAAGCTGACCAGCATTGCCTTCAACGACATGAACCCTCTGCGCATGAGGCTGATCCAGAACCGGCGCGCAGCTCATCTGGAACGTCTCCACGCTGAGATTAAAGAGTTGGAGAATTTACAGAAAGCCTACAAAGCGGAGCGCGTCCACTGCAAAGACAAAAAGCTGGATTCCCTTGCCAGTGACGATGAAGAGGAGGTATAAGATCAGGCCTGAACGTTCACTCAGAAACACTACATATAAAACATCATTTACTCACCCAGATATGTTACCAAAGCTGTACGATCGGCTCTTGTAGGTATCAATTATGCACCATGAAAGTATATATATGACATATGCACTATTCCAGAGCCAAACATAGCATGAGGAACAGACCAAACCAAGTCATTAACTGCTAAATCTTTTGAACTCATCTTCTTTTTGCTGCTTTGAGTCAAAGATAAGGCTAATGCACAGATGGCTTGATCAAATGAAACATTTTTCTTTTCATCAGTAAATGGTGGAATAAAGCTGTATTTATCTCAGGATTGGGCATGCTGAGGCTCTATGTATTTGCAATTACACTACAGTTTGGGGTCGGTAAGATTTTTATTTAATTTTTTTGTAATGAATTTAATGGGACGATGTAGGAATCCTGGAGAATAATTGACTGTAGGTTCCCTTTGATTTTCCTATTGTAAAGTTTAAGATGAGATACAAATAACTTGGCTATACTTAAGCATTCGTCACAGACTCGAACCCCAAATATTCTTATATTAGTAGTTATTTTAAACATGTTTTATAAAATGCCCATAACACACCAGCTTTAAAAAAGAAATCTTGCTTTCTATATGGGGTCCTACTTTATATTAAGTGGCCTTAACTAATATGTACTTACACAGGAATTAATAGTTTGCTACAATGTACTTATTGTGTAAATACATGTATTTACTGTGTACTTATGCTTGGTTGAATACATGTATGTAATTACATCAGTAATTAACTTTTGTAATTAAATTTGTAAATACCATCCCTTACACCTTAACCCACCCTTAAACCTACCCCACCAAACCTGTCGATAACCCAACCTCTATCCCAACTCAAATGCACCACAAGTGTTTTCAAATACATTATAAACACAGTAAGTACATTGTATTTATTTTTTGATGTAAGTACATTGTAGTTAGGGACACATAATATAAAGTGGAACCCTATATGGGTGTATAACTTGTGTTGTAGACCAAACGGTTATTAAACGGAATTAAGCTACATTTGCCACATTATTTTCTTGATCGATCGAAAAATACCAACACAATCTCATAGCAATTAGTAAATTTTTGATTTAGTGGCTAAAGCCGCACTCACTCTTCAATTTTTGCCTGATAGACTTCCATTCATAAGCATGCGAATGCGGCAAACCGATATTCGTAGTTTACTGCATTGCAAAGTTCAAGCTTGGTGAACTCAGACCTGCGAAATCACTTGACTGCGTGAGACCAATCAAAATCAAAACATGACCTTTGGACAAAAATTTTAAATATGGAGCAATTTGAAGCTAGTTTTCTTTTTAAATGTCTAAACATCTTGTTTAATCCCGGCCCTTTTCGCATCGCTGTACGACAGAATTTTGTAAGCTCAAACTCTACTGTGACCATGACATAATTCATATAAACTCACTCGTAAAATGTTGTACGATTTGCTCAAACACCCATGATGGTTGGGTTTAGGGGCGGGGCTGGGTGCCACATTTCTTTTTTTAAAATCGTACATTTTCGTACAACTGAACTCGTACGAGTTAGCCACCAAACTGACAAAACATAAAATACGTATGTTTCCTCTTAAGATCAGGATGGAAAAATCTCAAAGGAACTCATGACAAATTATTTTTCCAGGTTCCATCATTTCCGCACTAGATTTCCATTCAATTCAAGCTGTTTTTTAAGACTCGTGTTCATAAAATATACATCATTATTTCTTACCATTGATAATAACATAACATTTACATATTAGAATAAATTTAATAGCAAATTATGAAGTGAATGTAAACAACAAAATGCAAAAATGTTTTGTATAATGCAACATTTATGGATAAATTGTATTTATTTTAATTATTAATAATATTTTAGAAATGCCTGAAGGTAGAAATCAGTTACGATCAATAAATGATGACCATGGTCCGTGATATGCATTTGTAGTAAACAAAGAAATTTCATACATTGATACAAAAATTAAAAGCCTATATTAAAACTTGCATCAACACAGGCTTTTTTTTTTTTTTTTTTTTTTTGGAGGTAACAAAGACTCTTGGAGATTAGAAGTCAGAAAGCATCCTGAATTTACAATGTTCATTTTGCTAGCTCACTTTGTTTTTCTTAAGCTAAATAAAAAAGTTAACCCACTGAAAAAAAAAATTCAACAACAACCATTTGTTTGCATTTCTTGTGTTCAGCCTTCTAAAACAAGTTCTCCCTTAAAGGGGCAGTGCATTCGCCACATATTGTATCATTCATATTTTATTGCAGTCTTTTTATTCTTTTTAATTTTCGGACTGTTTTAATTGTTCTGCTTTGTTTGCCTTGTATGCCTGTTAGCGCTTTGGGACTGAGAAAAGCGTGTTATAAAAAAATAATAATTATTATTATTATTATAAAACATGTGCTGGATAAATTGGTGGTTCATTCCTCGGTGGTGACCCCTCATGAATAAAGGGACTAAGCCAAAAAGAAAATGAATAAATTAATTTAAGGGACTTTTGGTCCCTTAACAAGTGGGAGGCACATATGCTAAGTGTTGTAATTCCTACACCGTTCACCTCATTTGGATGTAAATACCCTCAAATTTAAGCTGATGCTGCGTTCACACCAGACGCGGAACGCGCGGATAAATCGCGCAATTCGCGAGTAAATAGCCGCGTGAACATTTGAGTTTACTCGCTTTATTTGCGTGTCAAATTCACTTCAGAACAGACGTGGATTCGTGTGATGGGCAGGGCTTCTGTCTGCCCGAAGACTCTAGCTTCATAGCTAAATGGCTAACATGGATTTTATGAAGAAAATAACAGTGTTAATGTGCTTTATGAAGACTGAAAAACAGCGCAGATACGTTTAGGGTCATGTCTGAGTCCACTACATCCTTTCAGAGGTGCATCCAGCTCTGTGAGCTCATAAACTCCTCCAGAAACTTAACCTGGATGATGGAGGCTTTCAGCGGTGCTTCTGACTGAGCCAAGCCGAGTTTGATGAACTGTTGTCGGTGAAGGCTGGAGGATTTCCCTCGGAACACACAACAGGTTCTACGTCACAATCACGCCCCCACAAGAGCAAGCTTCTGATTGGTTAACGCGGCGCGAATGTACGCTGAAGTTCAGATTTTCGAATTCGAGAGATTCGCGCGAAACGCTTGTTAAGCGCGTCAAACGCACAAAATGCTCAATTCGCCCTGCGCCATTCGCGCAATTTGCGTCATTCGGGCCGCGCCTTTCGTGCGTATCGCACCGCAGGATGTCTATTCGCGCGTTTGCATTGACTTGACATGTAAATCACTCACGCTTGATGCACGTGCCGCGTCTGGTGTGAACGCAGCATGACAGTTTGCAGTTAAAGCACACCTCGTTCATTTAATTCCATTGTGTTAGTGCATAAAGCCAAAAATGTTAGAATTGTGTCGATGTCCCAATATTTATTCATCCAACTGTATATATAATGTGTTGTTCCCACTGTAATAGGATATTTACGCCCCAAAAAACATGCACATGATAAAAATAAAACAGTCTTCATATTTGATGTAGATCCCGGGTGAAGTCATATAAAGAAACACTACTGTTTGTTTTCCCCCATTTTATTACGTAAAAAAAAACAAACAAAAGAAAAGGAATACATATGAAATCATAAATATAAAAAAAACTAAATCAAGAAAATCTTAGTTCAATGTTACAAACCACTTTACTGCAGGTAAGAGCTAATAGCTAAGATCACACCAGAGGAGTAAACTGATGTATTGCGTATCTATGACTCTATCCGAAAACTGCATTTCCCCCCGTGTGACGACAACAGAAGCACATTTCCCAAAAAGATCAACTCACAATCCCGTCTCCAAAAGTAAAAGTGAAATCAAAACAGTGGCTTGTGGCATAATAAAGCTATTGTTCTATCAGTGTTAAGTCACATGTATTCTAATGCCAAACAGTTCACGTTCCTACAAAAATGGCTCATTGTTTTAAAGAGTTAGAAACGTCAGGAGCATGCATGTGTGTACAGGGGTTATGGGTTTTACTAGCTCATCCGTCTCATTCTAATACACACTGACAGGACTAGCGAAGTCACGGCTGTTATTGAGATGCTTTCAGTCATTTAGAGAACGAAGGAAAAAGGCTGTGAAGGAAAACAAAAGCCAGGTAGCTGAAGAGAGAGTGTGTGCACAGTTAACGCTTTTGTGCACATTTGGCAATGTAAAGTCGAGTTGTAAGCCGTTGTTCGAGGCCAAAACATCCTGATCCAGTGATTTCCATAAACAAAAAACGAAATACACAAATAAAAAACACTTTTACCTATGTGAAATCGGTTTTACAAAACAAATCCCTGTTCAATCGTAAGTTGAAACAGCTCTTAGCATTGTGAATCTCACAAAACACATTTGGATTATGTGTGCGTTTATTTTTTATTTTTAACATAAAAATCTTTTCGACTATATTATCTGTACATTATTTCTTCCTTTATGATGTATTTATGGAAGTTCATAAGTTCCTGCCACTGAATAATTTAAAAAAAAAAGCTTATTCCGAATTTTTATCTCAGAATTTAGTGATAGAAACATGCTATCCTGACTTTCTTTTTTCTCGGAATTGTGAGATTTTAATTCAAAATTGCGAATCCATACGAATAAAATGGACAATAGCTCAGTTCAACTATATATTACCTTTTTTAAAGCGAGACAAACAGTCGGATTCTAGGCTGCGTTACGACATAGAGCTGCACGATCTCAATTCGACCCCCTAAACCAGGCATGTCCAAACTCGGTCCTGGAGAGCCGGTTGTCCAGCAAAGTCTAGTTCAGGGATGGGCAAACTTGATCCTCGAGGGCCGGTGTCCCAGCAGAGTTTTGTTCCAACACTTGTCAAACACACCTGAACATGCTAATCAGTGTCTTTAAGATGACAAGAAATCTATAAGCAGGTGTGTTTGATTGGGGTTGGAGCTAAACTGTGCAGGACACCGGCCCTCCAGGACCGAGTTTGCCCACCCCTGCTCTAGTTCCAACCCCAACCAGACACACCTGGGCTAGCTAATCAAGCTCTTACTAGGCTTTCTAGAAACATCTTTGCAGGTGTGTTGAGGCAAGTTGGAGCTAAAATCTGCAGGACACCGGCCCTCCTGGACACCCCTGCCCTAGACGATCTTAATCCAGCATTCTGCCAATCATATTTTCAAGTTCAGGAGAGAAGCAAAGGCGGCAGCACAAGTCTTCACATTGTTTTACATATGTTGTTCAGCAACGTGGACATTAATGGTGTTGAAAGAGCAGTTTTGACTTTAAAACTCGCAATCC